GTTTTAGAATTGGAGGAAATAGCAAACTCCGCGGTGCTTTCCGCCCTCGCTATCCTTCATGCGGTGATTGCATATCTCAGTGACTTGCCGACATATTCCGATATTATGATCGCCTTGGTCTTTATGCTTAAAGTATCCATCCGCTTCTCTGCCACTGCACAGCTTGATAACCAAGAAACTCAACGCTTACTGTCCTCCTTAGTCACCGCTTTGACGGGAGGGACAACAACAATGAATCCGCATCACAAGTTGTATCCATGGATCTACTGCAGCAGGAGTCACAGCAAGTTTATACTTGGTCGCAATACGTCGCGTGTATACTTCGGTCGTGAGACCGATGCGATATCTGGCCAGTGTTTCATCAATGAATTCGACTTTTTATCAGGACAAGACCAGAGGTCTTCAATATGAGTCTCTGCGAGAGACAAGAATAGCAAATAGTACCTCAGAGCATTATTTCCAATTATGAGAGTCGACAACAATTATGCAATGAAAGCCTGGTGGCACTAGCGAAAGGTATTTTTTAGGTTTCAAGGCGTCGAACAAGAGGGAACAAGAGGGAACAAGAGGGAACAAGAGGGAACAAGAGGGAACAAGAGGGAACAAGAGGGAACAAGAGGGAACAAGAGGGAACAAGAGGGAACAGGAGTGGGAAAGAGAGAGAGAGAGAGAGAGAGAAGTCTTGGAAATACAGAGCGGATAATTGATGATGGTATGCGAGCAATCCACCGGTAGGAAGACCGGGACTAGTATCGGAATAGATACTCACCGGTGCCGCCTATCAAGTGAGGGATATGCGGATTCCTGCTTTCCTCTCATTCATTGACTGTAAACCTTTCCGAGGAAAGATAATGAGAACCCTAACATTAGATTCCTGCTCATAGACTTAGCATTGAGACGACTACCGCCTCATCATAGGTTAATTTTTGATAAGACACAAGACTCACCAAAGTCGACAAGTGACTATTTTAACCATGGTACTATGAGACAAAATTCTAGGTCACCTTTACCGGCTTGATCGCTCACTTAGACAATAGTGCCTATGCATAAACAGACGCAAGACCTCGTGGATTTCTTCATTAAACTTTGCTCGTCTCCAAGTCAGCTTAGCTTTATTCTTTCTTCCTTACCGAAATTAACCTAGTATCCTATGAATGGACGATAAAAGCTTTCACGTTCTTAGCCACATCCTTGTAATTCCGCTTTTTGGTAGTAATTCGGCAGCTAGAGCGTGTGTCACGGTTCGACAATCTGACACTGAATCTGAACCGGGTTAAGTCAGGTGCGGCATCGGCAGCCATGAATCCGGCACGTTGTTGGCTAGAAGCTGGTGATGTGGCACTTATGAAACCTCTGAATAATGCCAGCGGTGTAGGATGGCTTGATGTGACTATAGCTGTTATATGGGCTGTCTCTATGTCGTTTCCAATCCTAGTGCTCGGATACGGATCAAGGTAGTGAAACCAGAAGAGGTCAAAGGTCCTCGAGGCTATAGCATGCACCGAAACGGTACCTTAAGAAGTTAAATTTCAATCAGATAGTTGAATGAACAGCTAGGAAATATGAAGAGATGAGGCCGTCATAGAGATACTTTGTCTTAGGGTTGAGAGGAGTCACGTGTCTGTGAAAACATACAATGTAAGACTCTGGCCACCTCGTGCGAATGAATTGGTTTCTGTCGTCATATGGATTTTGTTAGTGAATGGTTATATTGGAGTATGGCTCTACTATGTGACAATTGAATGTTTGCAGATAGCGTCACGCCTTTACAACAACTTCTTGACGCTAGGAGCTACCAGGATATTGAAGTTAGGAGACAAAGACCCAAAACAAAAAAGGCAAGAAGAAAATTACATGGCTAATATCTTTCGGCTTTAAAAAATGCTGTGCCCCTGTTTGAACCAAGTCTATCAGAAGGATTCAGGAGTATAGAGTATATATGGCTAAATGTACACTGGGGTGTTAAAAAGTTTTCTGTACTATTATCTGCACGTCGATTAGATTGTCCCAATGATAACCAAATTCTGCACTAGGCAGGTACTCCGTAGTCTATCGAAGACCTAGAAAAGTCTTATATTTGGGATCAGCATGGCTCCAACATTGGGAATAGAATAGGACGACAACAATGTTTGTTGATATGAGAGCACCAGAAAAAGAGAAAAACAACGAGTGGGCCTAGCTCGCAAATTCTTAACATTCAGAGTAGGCAAGCTAGTTGGCATCGTTGTTTCGCCCTCTTAATTTAACCGAGCAACAACGGACGCAAAAATTTGGTGCTCACGCACACCTTCCATCGGGTATATCCCTGGATATGGTTGGGTTTATTGCAGGGGTGCAAAGTGGGTTTATATAACTAGAATTCATGGCAGGGTATGTTGTACGATATTCTAAGGAGACTGGATAGTCGCAGGGAGGATATGGGAGGACTTTGAGATGCACGATGCATCTAATGTCCCTGATGCAACCTTCTTATCTGGTCGGGGTGGACATTGCAGCTATATTGCGTAGCAGATATATAAATATAGAGACATAGTATGTGCTAAAGGTTTTCGCAGGTGCAGGAATCCTTGTTAAATAGAAAGACCTAGTCATTCGTAATAAGCGTACGTAGATAAATCGTATATGGGAAGAGATCTTCTCTCGGATAAGGGGCGGCGGCGAAAACTTTTTTCTGTCTTTACTCCCGAAGGATAAGCAACTTACTAATATCAATTAGTCGCCGTTTAGTTAACCTATGGTTGATAAATGGGGTTATGGAGCTTTAGCCTCACCCATAAGTTGTGCTTGGTCTGATATTTGAGACCGAAACAGAGGGAACGGGCGTCAAAGGGGACCTCTTTGAGGCAGACGTCGGTAGCAGGCCGAAGCTTTCCCGCGGCGTTGCTGTACCCTGTCGATATTAATTACGGTGCTGTGCTCTACTGTGTAATATCTAGAGAATCGATCCAAGGGTACCCTCGTAGGGTAGAGACGGAAGGAAACCTTAGGCTGCACCCCTGTCAAGTGACTGGAACAAAAAATAGTAACAAGGAACCTTCTGTTTGCCCTCCACTTTCCCAGGTACTACCGAGGGTTCCGGTTCATTCCCCGCTTCAATGTCTCGGAGATCTGTCCTTGGACTTTGGTTACCTGTGCGGATCACAATTTATTCAATCTCAAGAATGACATAATCCATCATTTGATGCCCAAAAGACGGTTGAGCAGTTGTTGTGACCTGTGTCACTGGGAAGCCAAGAAACGCCTTGATCGCGTCCTTGGAGAGATCCATTGGCGTACGCGTGATCTCCAGCAAGTTACATTAATGGATCGTATTGGGGCAAAGTGAAGCTCGGACAAGATACTTTTCTCTAGTAGGTAAGCAGTGCGATAAGTCCTAACTATATTGACGGGCACTACTGTATGCAGGCCAAGGCCAACCTCGACCTGCATGTACCACAAATCATCGCATTGTTGGATACGATTTCCGAGAATTCTGAAAAGCGAGATTTACTGGGCGCAAAATGAAAAGAAAAGAGAAGAAAGAAAGTACCCAAATGAAAAGTTTTTTCGATGTTCTCCTTTCATTATCGGAGCCGTGGACTACACTGGATCATCACCGACTGGATCCCTCCGCGTACGTTAGTGGAGTATCAATATACGGGGATGGAGAAAAGGATCCCAACTAGAGAATGGCTCGGTCGATTTCGAAGACCCCTGCCCAAGGAAAAACAAGACTTTTTGGTGGACGAAAAAAAAGGAACCAAGAGGCAAACCCCGCTTAATGGCCACTGTCGATCACCAAGCTAAAACAAATTAAACCCAACAAGGAAGCCCGCAGAGGCGCAACTTCTACCAACTGCTCGTGCGCTTATTGACTCACGATACTAGCTTACTTCACATGCTACCGAGCTCAAGCTCCGAGCAACGAACGCCGCACTTCCGTACATGATTTTCTCGTCCTAGAGCCCTGCGTCCTCCCGCAATCGGTTGAGTTCAGATACCAGACCTACATACTTCCCCATGCCAAGTGAACAATTGTGGGTGAATAGCAACCCCCACAATTGGGGGGATCCTTCCCGAGAATTTCCTCTCAGGGGCAATGCTCCGTTCCCCGCAAGAAGAGCGCCTGAAAATCATCTTTCGAAGTAGTTAGTATAGCAAAATAGCCCCAACCAAGGAAGTACGTATGAGCTAACTCAGCTAATAGTAATAATTACGGGCCGTGTGGGTTGACCACAATTCACCGCTGCTCGGCGTACTCGAGGAGGGTCTGTCCGGGCCCGTAGTACCTCAATGGCATGCACTCTAGTCAGGGACTAACTGCTATCATGGCTCCATACACCCAATCAGGGAACTTCTTTTTCTTCGTAGATCAACAAGTCAATTGGAGTACTCCCCCATAGGCATGGCCGCAAAGTGACCCGATGATTGTCAAATTCTCGCTTGGTCCAGGAAAACAAGTGCGCTTGTCGATCGCCGAGGCAGAACCGAAATTGAGAGACAACATCTGGGGATGAAGAGAGATTCTCACGGAAACTCGCAATTTATGGCGCTTCTCATTTGCTCCCCGCAAGGCCGATTGTCCCTCACACACCCGGGGGATCCACAGCTCACTCCGACAAGCATAGCTTGCTCCAGAATCCAGATCGCACCACCTTCTCCGCTTGTCATCGACTATACGACCCTGCAGTGGTGCTGCTATGTCGACAGGGGAGCAAGCGATCAGCATGTCGTATCAAGCCCACACCAAATGGGCATCTCCCCCGCAGATCGGGCCCAAAATTTTCTGCCACTGACATCAATGCTGGAGAGAACCAATGCAACGCAGTTTGCTTCACATGTGGGGATCATTGGCTAGCCCTCGGCCTACTCCAGTAGTCCCCATTAGCTCTATGGACAGAATGTAGTAGATTCCCGCACACCTGCAGACATAAAAGGAGCCATGCAGCCTCCTTGGTTCTGGAATTGGGCCCTTAAGTCGTCAATTGCTGGCCATCCCCTGTGGAGAGCATACACCCAGCATGCGTTTCTCAACAGTAGTTTCCGCCCTTTTGCTTTCCAGCACCTCGCTGGCAACACCAGCCCAAGCCTCTTCAGCACTGGGCAATGCCTCATCACAGGGGGCTCCTGAGGAACATCCTATAGCTCAGACACCGGCTGCTGCGGAGGCGACTGCCGCTGCTGCTACTGCCGCCGCTGCTGCTCAACCGAGTGATAATGCTAGTCAACAACCGAACTTCAATGCCAACCAGCAGCCAACTGCTGAGCCCAGCCAGCAACAAAGTGCCAACGACGAACAACAGCAGCCGACTGCCAACGTCGCTCCACAATCGAACGCTGCCCCAGAGCCGTCTTCTAGTCCCGATGCCAATCAACAAACAGATGGTGGTCTGCTGTCACACCTAATCCCCACTGGTGTTGCGGATTCTTCTACCCAGCAAGAATCGAGTGCGCCTGCTCCAACTGCCTCACCAGCGGAGCCCCAGGGCAGTGCGTCGCCTACCGAACAGTCGACAACTCAGGGATCCGCTACCAAAACGGCCGCTCCCTCTTCAACATCATCAGCAAGTAATCCATGGGAAAATCTTATCCCTGATGGAGTTACTGGTAACCCTGGGACAGACCTGGGTAATGGACTCCAGGGTCTCTTGGGTCTCCTGTCTCCAACGTTCCTCAAGGATGTTGAGTCATTTTTCCACCACTTTGCCTATCTATTTGACGACAAGACTACGGAACAGACCAAGTCTCTCATTAATATTGGATCCGGCCTTCTAACTCAAGACTTGATCAAGGAATTGAATAGTCTGCTGAGCAACGCGGGCAAACTGTTGACATCTGACTTTGTTGATGAGATCCAGAAATTGATCAAACAACTTGGCCCTCTTCTTACGGATGACCTGTTCAAGCAGATTGCCACATTGTTGAACAATGGAAACGACCTTCTGACCGCTGAGTTTGTCAAGGAGGTCAATGCTCTGATCGGAAACGCCAACCAACTACTGACAGCTGAAACTGTTAAGGAGCTGCGGCAACTTATCGATTCCCTTGGTCCTCTCTTGACTCCTGAACTCTTCAAGGAAATTAGCGGCCTCCTTAACAATGCCAACGATCTGTTGACTGCGGACTTCGTCAAGGAGATCAAGAGTTTGATCTCTGCAGTGGGTCCTCTCTTGACTCCTGAGCTCTTCAAGGAAATCAGCGGCCTCCTTAACAATGCCAACGATCTGTTGACTGCGGACTTCGTCAAGCAGATTAAGGGCTTGATCAACTCGCTTGGCCCTCTACTTACACCTGAACTCTTCAAAGAAATCAGTTCGCTACTGGATAATGCCAACAGCCTGCTGACTAAGGACTTCGTTGACACGGTCAAGAACCTGCTCAACGAGGCCGGTCCTCTACTTAAGCCTGAATTGTTCAAACAGATCAGCTCGCTGCTGGATAATGCCAACAACCTGTTGACCCCATCGTTTGTCAATGAGACTACAGGCTTGATTGACACTATCTCTCCTATATTGACACCTGACCTGCTCTTGAAGGTCGGTAGCTTGTTGAACAGTGCCGGCAACTTGCTGACCGATGGATTCGTCGACGAAACCAACACTTTGATTGGCAACGCAACTCTCTCTTGACAGAGAAGTTTGTCAAGGAGACCAGCGGTTTGATTGACGGCATTGCACCAGTCATCACTCCTGAACTTCTGGGACTTGTTGGTGGTCTCCTTGCAAATGCCAATTCTCTCCTGACACCGAAGTTTGTCAATGAGACTCGGGACTTGATTGATGGAATCTCACCTGTCCTTACACCTGAATTGCTCACGCAAGTCGGTAGTCTTCTCAATAACGCCGGCAAGCTCCTGACGAGCGAGTTCATTGATGAAACGAAGGGCCTGATCGGCAATGTGGCACCTGTCATTACCCCCGACCTGCTGGAGGATGTCGGCTTCCTTCTCGGCAACGCAACGAACCTCCTTACACCCAAGTTCATCAACGAGACGAGAGACCTCATTGACGATGTCTCGCCTGTTATTACCCCAGAGCTACTCGGCGAAGTTGGTGGCCTTCTCGGCAACGCCAACGACTTGTTGACAAAGAAATTCATCAACGAAACACAGATTTTGATCGAAGATGCTTCTGAGGTAAGGAAAGCCCTCTAGGCTATGGTTTTGTGGCTATTCGCTGACTCTTTCTTTTCTAGATACTCCCTGTCGTGGTGAAGATTCTGGGTACACTGTGAAGGATCTAGAGCCACATTTCAAGGGCTTATGATTAACGGACAACGAATTTACTTTTAATAATGCGAGGATATTATCACGTCTTCTTATGTCGATAAGATTCATGTTTGTGATATTTTCGGGTGCCAAGATATAGCGGCCCCGATTACAATGATGTGATGTTTTAATATGAATCCGTCCATAGCCCAACCTAAAATCCATGCCCATGAGATGGTTCAGTTCGCCTGCAGAAGTACCTTGGCGAAAACAAAACACATAATTTCGAAGTAAACACGCAATTCGTGTAAGACCGATGTCTATCATAGCCAATAGACAATCCGATGGCTTTCTTCCTTCCCCCCCCTATGAAGCTCCCTGACTCAGTCCAAGGGCATTTCTTCATACCACTGCTGGATAGTATTCTTCCAAGCTCTTGAATCAGGTGATGAAAGTTGAGAAGTGTTGAAGAGGCAAGGTCGATGTGAAATAGGCGTAGAGGGTCGGAAACCGTAACCCACAATGGACCCGTTAGCGGAACAATAAACGGTGATTCATAACCGAGTTTGAAGCAAGCATCGTGACGGCCGGACTCGTCCTAGTATGATGAGAAATGTCGCAGTCATAGAACTCCCAAGCCGTTGGGTATGTTCTATTAGCGGTTTCTTGAAAGCAACCTCCCCTGTAGCTTTTATTCAAGCTGGAATATCCGATGCTTTCACTTCTTGATATTTCGACAGAACTTTCATCTCGGTGTTTCTTTCCTTGATCTTCTTGTCCATCGCTTTTTGAACATCTTCGCGTTTCCTCTCAGCGTCCTCCATCTTCTGTTTTACTTCCCTGGCAACTTGTTCCTGTGCTTTCAGAGCTGCTTCGGGCGATGTGTATTCTTGACGTAATTGCTCTAGCTGGGCGCGGATGTCCTCAGATTCCGCATCGATCTGAATACAAGTAACCGGGTGGTATCTGTGCGGCGGGAACGGCTCGCCAGGGACGCGGACTTCGAGAAGTAGAGGGTGTATCGGGGTCGTGCGCTGAGGTGAGCCCAAGGGGACCGGGTTGGTTGTGGGGGAAGGCGTGGGCTCTGAAGGTGGGGATAGGGGCTCCTGGTTCATTTTGCACTTTCAATTGGACTTAAGATGGGTGTGATATCTGCCGATTCTCGTTGAGGCTGACAGGAGTACTTCAAAGATGCGCTCGCTCATGGATTTTACCTCCGCAGCGCCGGCCGGGAAGACGCCCAAGGCGGTCAGTTTCTGCGGGACGTATTTCTATAACGTCCGCCCTGGCGCGGAGTGTGGGGAAACCGGAAGCAATGCGAAGTGTCATCTGGAACACAAGAGAAGCTTATACGATATTGGGATAATTGAGGAACAGATGCTTATATAGGGATCGCTGGACTGAGCCTTGCCAACCATGCAGGCTTTTGGTATGCTCATCCCATATCCTATCTGCGGAGCATTATCCGTCCCCCTATCAGTCGGGACATCATGACCTCATAGGACCCTGCTGCTAACGTATGGAATTCCTTAGTTCCAAAGAATCGGAGGGTGAGTCAAGCGGCATAATCTGTTTGTTCAAGTCATTGACTGTGTTCTTAGCCCAGGTTTGAGCTTGGTTTAAGGGTAGGTTACTCGAGTCCCCTGCCTTGATAATCATATCGATACTGATTCCATGGCCGCTATAGATAGTCGATTTGAACAATGTTCCCCTCGTGAACGGCACAGCGTTTGTCAAATGGCGCTTACCTTCGTCAAGCGGCGCCGAAAACCATGGGCATACGGATAAGGCGGTGATCATTGACCACCGAGCATACTGGAACTACGAAAAGACCTTGCAGGTTCGACTCACTATCGACCGGAACCAGAGCTTGCATGAATGCGAACTACAAGTTGAAATCATACAGGAGTTTGAATCGGGGGGAGCCGGGGATACCAAGAATTTCCTGGGAAGGATCAGACTCAACCTCGCTGAATATGTGGACAAGAGCGATGATGATGAGGGAATCGTGAGAAGATACTTGATGCAGGACAGCAAAGTAAACAGCACTCTTAAGATTGGGGTAGCAATGCGTCAAGTGGAGGGCGATCGGAATTTTACAACGTGTGTCTATTCAACCATACATTCTGACTTGATGACTGACGTGCGATAGGCCCCCTTTAAAATCGGCCATGGTCTTCGGTGGCATCACAGGCGTCGTTTCTTCAGAACAGACTGAACCTGATGATTTGGGCCCACTACCATCTATCAACATGCAAAGTAGGGAAGTTGCTGACATGCAGGATATGTACCGCCGGACTTTGGCTGCTTCTTGCAACTCTCGCTCTGACGACATACCTGCGGATAAGCTAGTTGAGGACCTTTTCTCGGGAAGCATTAGCTGGAGTAATGAAATCTATGGCCTTCAACCGACCGAGGCCAAGGAAGGTGACCGTTTTCCATCCGCCGGTGCAGCTACGAAAAGTACGTCGGCGAATAGACTGTCACCCAGCTTTGAAAGGCGACCGAAAAGCTCTTCAAGCAATCAGTTCCGCAATGATGGCAAATTGCCGGAGTTGAGTTCGAGAGTTGGACACAGCAGGAAGCGCAGCAGCATTGAACATCAACTTTATGGTACTGCGAAGGGCCATGCTTGGAAAAACCGTAGCAATGATCACGAGCTCTCGGAGTTTGATGTTCGGGAGGATTTAAGGAGCTGGGAGATTGGTACCAAGGATTGACGGCAGAAGATTTTTTTTTCAGGTATTGTATTTAATCTTGTATTTGTAAATAATACCCATATCTTTTTGGCTGGAATCCGTCGCATTTCATCTTTATACACGATCGGACCATCAACATTGAGATCGGAAGCCTATCACCGATTGGGAAATGCCCTATCCGCCGACTATTCCACTTTGAGGCTAGTGCCAGTCTAGAATCAATTCTCCAAGCTTGAAAGTTGAGAAGCTTCAACATTCGGTCGGCGAAAAGTTACTCACAAAGTGGCTCCCCCCACCCCCTCCCTCCCTGTGGTGTCCCAGATGCTTTCGCGTTCTTCAAAAGGTGTCGCGGCTTTTGAGCTGCCCGATAACCCCTTCCTGCAGGAACTGCTCGTCACCATCGACCCTTCGATTACGCGACGTTTTTGTCCGGTCCCAGCATACGGACGGCGGCGAACCAGAAAATGATAGTACAGAAAGCACGGAATCTCGGCCACCCCGATACAGACGCAGAGTAAAGCCTCAGCCAAAACCAAGGAGAGAGAAATTTGACAAGGTACCGATCGACGTATCTTCCTTGGGAAATCCGGGGGAAGTAGTTGTCGTACCGCATCCAAAACGTCGCCGCTTTGTCAACCTCAAACATTCGAAAAATCACACCAACGAAAACACGAAAGATGCACTGCCGTTTATGCTGTATGATATCGAGAATACCGAAGACATCCTTGATGACGATCTAATTACGGAACGAATCGAAAGTTTCCGCACACCTTATCGCCCGGGAGATAAATTGAGTACCGCCGATTGGGAGAATCTTCGGTCAGATGTCCAGACGTCGTTCACAATCCAGCAACTGTCGGACTATATTGAGCAGTTTAAGGCAGATGGCGCAGTGTCGGAGGAGGGGCTAGTACTTGATGGAGGACCAAAACTCGCGGAATGGAGACCGGGGACTTCAGCATTTTTTGAAACGGAGTCGGCCCCCCAGGTGGGAGCCGCTAAAAGAGTTGCAACTTCACTAGATCTTAGAGGCAAGTATCTGCTCACTGAGCGGATACTCCGCGATTGCTGGCACCTTGGGCTCATCGGCGAAGTCGGTCAGCTGGATGTTCGTCTTCCCGCCCATACACTGTCGTTATTTTTACACTCCGAGCACTTTTCCTTCGAGGAGCTCGCTGGTCTTCACGATGCGAAGATTGATATTACCCATTCGCTTGGTCTTGTTCGCATCACTGGAAAGCTGCATTCTTGTGAATTCATCCGTGACATCATATACGACGCCACGACCAGGATACGAGAGGAGGATCTTGAACTGTACCCTCGTGGGGTTACCCCAAAAGGCAAAAACCGTGTTTTCACTGTTGATTTCTTGTCATGGGTCAGCAAGACTTATGGTGTCTCATTCGACATGACCTCTACTACACCAACTAAGATGTTCTACCTTGTCGAAAACAAGCCAAAAGCAGAGAGTGCTCGGAGGACACTGAACCTGGCAATTCACGATGCCACACAGCCTCCAATACCATTCGGCACTTATATGGCAGCCTCAGAGCCCGTCGACACCTACGATATCAACCCGGAACTCAATGTATCATGGTTTGATCGACAGAAGACATGGTTCCGCTGGGCCGTACCGTCGGCACAAACAACTGCACCAAGCATGTCAGACACCCCATTCTTCAATCAACACGAAACACGCCTATCAGACGAACTCCTCAAACTTCTACGCGCAAGAGCACGCACTAACATCGGCAAGGCCGCAGCCCACGAGAGCATTACAGCAGCAGTCGGCCGGTGTCTCTTCGAGCACAAGCCGTTCGAAGGAAAGGCCATCACCGCCGCCCAACTAGGCAAACTGGCACCTCCACGGACCTTCACAACCGACATTCCCCGAGTAATCCCCTTCCTGCATCAGCTGGCCGCAGATTATCCGGAGGAAGAAATCCAACCACACCGCCTCCGCCTAGTCCCATCCGCAGTCCACGCAAACATCTTCCCCCAACTCGAGCTCGAAGTCGCCATAGCCCCAGGAGGCTTCGAGTCCGAATACAACGTGCAAAACGCCAGAGCAATCCTATCCCAAAGTAGCGTCGACTACCTCCTCCCCGAATGCAGCCTCGATCTCCGCTTCACCCGACAATTAACCCACGATGTACTGGACAGCTTCGACGAGAACGGTCCCCTGGTACCCCTCCAGGACTCCCTACGGGACTTCTTCTCCAAGGCGATGATCTACGAGGGCGAGACTCCTCTTCCGGCCTTTTCTCAGCTCTCAGTCCCCAACCATCTCTTGGTTGAGACGGGCGAAGAACGCGATCCCGATGGCTTCACTACAGCGGAGTACATGTATCTGCCCGTCAGCGATTTCCGGGGCACGCGTCTCCATCAGTATGACTTTGAGGGCCACAGGCTTAATTACTCTTTCTATGAGAGTGGACCTTTTAGTTCTCATCGTATGACGGATATCTTCTTGGATATGGATATGGCTGGTTCTTCGGAACAGTCTCCTTCGGATAATACTGACTCCCAGGAATCTATCCAGCGAGAGTTTAGTTCGTTCTATAAAGCAGCTTGCTCTTTGGCGTTTGACTTGGATAAATCCGGACGTGCGATGTGAGATGGATAAGGTGAATACTATATATATGTATATTACTTAGATTTTTTTTTCATGTGGGCCATTGTTGCTCTTGCTTTAATAATCTTTGAAGAATGTAAATACCGTTATACCCTCTCCCCTAAGTATTGCATTAAATGTTATGTAGCTTGGTGTAGCGTCTGGGTACTGTGGTCTCACAAGCATGTCATTACACTCCAATAGGATTATCCAATCCCAGATGGTAGTATGCTCATATTTATTGGGTATATCATGGTCCAAGTACTAGTAGTGAGGACCAGGGGATAAAGTACTCCTATTCACAAATAATTTGGGTTGCTAGCAAGTTCACCCGAGGATCATTAATACTATGCAGTTGATCACGACATTGGTGACGGCATAAATTTAACTCAGAACCACGACATCACGTTACTGCATCTCAATGAACACTGTTAGTGTAGATACCGACTAAGTCGTAGAAGTCGCCGACGCCCTTCCTGAAACCATTTTCCCATTCCTCAGCAAAGTCCTCATTCAACTTTCCAGTTTCAGCGAATCGTTTTCGAACCCACAGCTCCATTGCTCCTATTTTCTCCCCTCCGTTCCAACCACCAGTAAGAACGTCTCGTGACAATGCACCAAAGAAGCTCAACGCATCATTGAATCCAAGGTCCCAGCCAAAGGCACACTGTTGGCGCTCGCGAGTATTTGGTGAGTTCGAGTGTTGTGATAAAGCAGACTCTCGGGACTGCAATCGTTGGGTCTCGGCCTGTGTAATTTTACTAATAACTTGTGCTCGGGGAATCGCGAGCCATGAAGGAGGCGGTATAGCATCAGTACTGACTTGCCGCTCAAAGTCCCACTCATCACCAGTTATCCGGTGTATTTTGTAGCCCACGAAAGCGGATCCGCATGTCTTGGACTCCCACTGTTTGCTCTGTTCTTGACCGAAGGTCTTGGTTAATGCCGGCCTCTCGGCCGCATCCACGCGGGCCCAGCTTTGTGCATCCATTGCGCAGCTGTATTGTCCGATGTAGGCATCTACTGCAGTTCTACAAGAGCCCACTTTGCCTTGACGAGTTGAAAGTTCAGATAGCTCACTGTGAATCCGTGAGATGATAGTCCTGGGATCCATGTGCTGATATGACCCCGTCGTGTAATACTTGTGGGTATCCACGATAATCGGACTCCTGACTACAGGGCTCTGAAGTCTGTTTTTCATCATAGCATAGTCCAACGCCTCGGCAAAATCCCCACCATCACTGATGTAGATGGGAAGGGGTGGGTTGATACAGCTCGTGATTTCGAGAACTTCATCGTACCATTTCTGAAGATCGCAAGTTTTCCAGTCCGTTTCGCTAGATATCTGAACTCCGATCACCCCAGACATCGCATGATACGTAACTTCTTGAACGATAAAAGTGATGCAGTCCGTGGCCATCGCCCAATTGCGCTCACTCGCGCAAAAGTCAGCAATCCTGATCTCACTGTGACTGTTCCGGTCCATACTACCTGGAATGGTCTGAAAATCAATCAGGACTCCGATACCATGGTGGTAGCATTTCTCGATGAGACGTTTTAGGATATTCCAGCAATTGACGTACACCTCAGATGCCTCGCCTTCGAAATCTGTACCCGCACAGAAGACTGGCCCAAGGGTAAAAAAGCCTATCGGGATCCGTATTGAATTGCATCGTGCCACATCTTTAAGCCATATGATATCGAAATCGGTCAGAGTAGTCCGCCAGTGTGCTTCCCATTTTAAACGGGTTTCCTCAAGGCCGCAAGCCTTGAGCGACCTGTGTGCGTGAAATTTTATCAGCAACAAAGCCAGCAAAGAAGGTGTATATCCCTATGTGCACTGACCTTTTTACCTCTTCGAGCTCCTTGGAGCTTCCGGAGTCGGTACTGGATGCACCGTCACTTAACCAAGGCCCATGGACGAACATAGAGCCTAGATTGGTACCATGCTGATATCGGTAGCGAAATATATCCTCCGCAGTTGGTGGTGTATAGTTTGAGTCAGTCATGGTCTCACAGCAGCTTGACGGATGCTTAGCTACTACGACAGTTTTTTATTGGCAGTATTTGTCCCCGAAGATGACAAAAGTTTGATGCAGAACCATACAGCGACTAATTCTAGATGCGTGGGAAGCAACACTGAGGCTGATGTGCTGGGAAGATTATAGGACGCAACACGGGTGTTCAGTAGCCGTAAAGGACGCGTGGAATTAGCTGGTAGTATCTATTGAAAGAGGCAGTCCATCATGGGAAACATATCACTTCTGGACTCTACATCGCAGGATCGATTGATGTTTCAAGCTGTGAGTACATTTTCAAGGAATGTGACGGATTTGGAAAGGAAGGATGCATCAGTGATGTCATCTCTAAACAATGAACAACTTTTAGCTGACTAACAATACAATATGTAGTTAGTTATAGTAAAGGTTCTTGATCTCTCTCTCTCTCTCTCTCTCTGTGAAGAAGCTTTAAGAGTGATAGTCTTTTTTCTAGGAATTTATATAACCACGAACTCTGAATCATTACACCACAGACGCTTCGAGACTTGGTACGAAGACCGCCAAATATATGTATCACGTTAATTCTAGAGTACATATGACATTCAATTCATCGACAGACAATTCTTGGGTTTTAGATCCTTGAGCATTTAAGTATGATAAACATGCAATGAAAACAATCAACTGAGCCCCTCGATTATTGTGCAACAACACGCTTGACAGTATCCCGAACTGACTCCAACTTCAACCCCAACATATCATTGGCCAGGCTCAGGTCTTTGACATAATTAGCCTGCAGGCTAGGGGTCTTACCATAGCAAGTGGCTCGGACTAGTTGGAATGCACCACTGAAGTCACCAGCACCGAGTTTCTTAAATCCTTCGTCAACCTGCTCCTCCGTGGTGGTTGCTTTCATGGACCATTTAGCACCCGTTTCCTCTTCCAGTGCAGCCATGATCTCGTTCTGAGTGGTTTCGACAGAAGCAATGTAGAGGTACTTGTTACTGGTCGCCTGGGGGTGTTGTAGCACTGAAACCACTGCTTGGCCAAGCTGCTTTCCATTGGTAAGGGTAAAGCTCTGGTTACCGCCGTCCCAGATGGTTGCGGTACGGCTTGCGACGTCAAATTCGAGGAAGCCATTTCCAAGGCCCTATTTAACCGAGCGAGTCAGGTTTCTCAGTAGAGAAAGGTAAGTAAACATGCCACTTACCCAATCGAGCAATCCCGAAGTTGCAATGGCAGTCCACGAAAGGCCACCGGATTGCTTAGTCTTCAAGTACTCGATGAGTTCCCTCTTCTGGCCAAAGAAGGGTGCTAATTTCAAGACAGCCTCATTCTGGCTATTGGAGGAGAACTCAGAGGGAATGAACCGTCGAACACCAGATCGAATTGCAGCATCGACAACCTTTTTCTGTTCGCCAAATGCCGTGGCACCTACTGCTGAGATGACGGCGTCCTGGCCCTTCAAGACAGCCTCAAGTTCGGCATCTGAGAAACCGCTCTTGTGGACAGTGATACCGGCGGGAAAGCTAGCCTTACTTTCCTTGCGACATAGAACGGTAATGTTAAAGCTGGAAGATGCAACAAGGCCATCAAGAATGATCTTGCCAATATCACCACTGGCCTAAGTGGAAGTGTGAGAATGGTGGCGCAATACAAAGATTGGAATTTACATACACCAATGAGGACAATATTCTTGTATCCGGCCATTGTAAAGGATACGAGGGAAGAAGTGAGCTTTAAAGCAAGTTAATAATTGCGAATTGAATCGTATCACGGACAATTCGTGGCGATGTCTCTGCTTTTTGTCTTGAGAACAGCTGGCGACGTGACGGGGATGACATCTTTATATGTATGAGGATGAGCACTTTGGTGAGGGGAATACTTTTTCTATCGAGTATGGCCAGTATACTTCGTAGTATCAGTAAGATAGTTAGTTAGTAGTTAGATGACAAGTGGATGGGATGCTTACTACTAACTACTAGTAGTTACATGCGGACTTTTCCTCCGCTCCTCCGCTGCAGCCAACCGGAGCAGCTCCCCTCCGGACCTGCGCCATCGTTGGATCATCGTCCGGTCCGCTTGCTCCGTTAATACTTCAGTTTTACTACTCAACCCACTCAGATTCAACAAACAGCAGCGACCCATGCCCCGCCGGGTGATTGCGTCAGGACGGTCCTGTCTTGAGTGCCGCCGGCGCAAGATCAAATGCGACCGATCCTTGCCCTGTGCATACTGTGTCCGGACGCATATACAGTGCACATACCCTCAACCTAAAACAGGTGGAAATGCCGACCATTCCGTGGATAGTGACCTTGTGGCCCGAGTGGAAAGCATTGAATGCAAGTTCCAGTCCCTAGAAAGAAGTCTAGCGCAGATCAAACAACTCCTGCATATGAATCCTTCATCTTCCAGTCAGGAACAAGATCAGTTGAGGCCTGTAAGCTTGCCTTTCGTTATCCAAAGTGAACTGTAGAAAGACCATCACCAGTAAGCTAGTTACTAAAACAGTAGTAGGAAATTGAACAAGATCGGTGTAGCTCCGGCTGGTCTGGTGCTTCTCATTCTACTTCACCCAACGATGGGCAACCTTGGCAGTCTTTTCCATTGAGGCCGAACCCTTCACCCCCGCTAGAAACCCTTCATCCTTCTCCAGCTGTAATCGCATTCATCTGGCAGACCTACCTGGATGTGGTAGATCCAGTGGTAAAAGTTTTCCATGTCCCGACAGTGCAAAGGCAGGTAGTGAGTGTCATTCGAGGCCGATCTAACCTCGATGCCCCCACAGAATGCTTGATCTTTGCAATTTATTACTCTACCGTAGTGACCATGTCGGCAGTAGAGTGTCGTGAGGAGTTTGATGAGGAGAAAGCCGTACTACTGACGCGGTATGTACGTTTCTCATGGGAAGACGCCGTCGCTGACTGAGTAAGGTACCGAACGGGAGTCGAGCAGGCTCTTTCACGCGCGAACTTCCTCAGGTCCCTGGATTTGACGGTTCTGCAGGCATTTGCTCTCTATCTGGTAGGTGTACACCCATGTTTGAAACAAAACGGAACCTAAGAATATTATCTAGATATGCGGCAGAAAGGACGAGAATGGACCCGACGTATGTACACTTATAGGGGTTGCCATCGGAACTGCCATGAAGATTGGTCTCCATTGCGATGGAGCTGGTCTAGATATATCCCCTTTCGAGGCAGAAATGCGTCGCCGGCTCTGGTGGCAGATCTGCACTTTGGATGTCCGAACGGCGGAGGACCATGACTCTGAACCGACCATCCTCGAATCTGCCTTCAATACTGAATTGCCGTTGAACATCAACGACACTAGCCTGGAACCCGACATGAGTGAACTGCCTCAAAGTCAGCTTGGTAAAACCGAGATGACCTTTACGCTGGTCCGGTTTGAAGGGAGCCATTTTGCGCGAAGAGTGATATTTTCAGACAGGTTCTGCCGCATTAACACATACCCAATCTTGAATGAGGCACAGAAGTGTGAGGCAATAGAGCAATTCAAGGGGCGTATAGAGAAACGATACTTGTCGTATTGCGACAAAGAAGTCCCACTTGACTTTATCACCGCTGCCTCCATTCGTTTGATTTTGGTGAAATTGAAATTGGCAGTATGCAGGCTACGGAGGGATCAGGCTCCGGGCATGCTTATTCAAACAAATTACCGGAGGACTTGTGAGGAAGTCCTACAGCACGCCCAGATGCTGCGAAATTACGAGAAGGGCAAAAGATGGCTCTGGCTTTTTCAGACCTATGTCGAATGGGACTCACTGGCTTATCTCCTGCTCCATCTCTGTATAGCGCCCCCGGAGGAGCAGTCTGACGCGGTGTGGAAAACTGTGAACGAGATTTACCACCACTGGAAAAGTGAATCAGATATCTATCATGATCGCCGCTGGAGGCTTATTGAAGAGCTTCGATTCCAAGCTTTTATCACACGGGGTAGAGGGCAGACAATCCCTCAATTGCCACGGGAGACGCAACCGGATCATTACAAAACACCTGAACAACGTGGTATTGGATCTGCGGTCAGGCTATACAAAGACTCGTCCACCGGAGCCCAACAGACAACAAACACCGTGATTGATCAGCCATCTAACGTGGAAGCTGCTGCTCACGCACACCTATCGCCCATGGCAATGGTTGAGATAACCGAGTCCAATCCTGTCACTGAGCAACTCTTCCCCATGGGTACGCTCATCAACGCGGCGACTGCGACATCTGCAATCCAACCAGCGGAAGTGGCGGTCTCGAGTGCTGCTGAATTGCCGAGTGGGGATACTGGTTGCGAGTGGAGTGCAGCACTATTCGAAGTGTTTTGGGATCTCACTGGATCTGGACAAGGTGCCTCTGTTTCATGGCTGTAATTGTCTCATTTTAATCGATTTGACAATGCGTCGATGTTTTGAAATGATGCCAAGCATGGGTATTTTGGATGTCCATCCCTTCATCCCTGGTTATTATCTGCCGAAAAGCGGAAATTCATCACAAACAAATACATCATCATATATATTCATCTCGACAATTTCATGATACAAAAGCAAGAAAAGAAGAAAACATATGGGGTGAAAATAGAACGTGAAAAGGATGGATCTAGAGAGAGATAGTGTGGATTTAAGAGAGTACTATAAATTGAATGACGGGGGCTAATTTACCTTGATTAAGGTTAGGCCTTGACGTAAAAGGTCACTAGGCGAGGGGCTCCGCATTTTCAAGTCCCGAATCCGCCCCGTTGGCCCAAATGGATTGAATTGTCACTTTCCCAAGGGTCCCGCAAGTTCGTGCCAAAACCCTACCTTTCCTTGGTTTCCACCGGCTTATCTGACCTCATTGAAATCTCCCTAAGCCAAAAAACAACTTGTCAACTAAAGGCGCCCCCTCCTGTACAGCACCAGTGCCAATTTGTTCCCCTCGACGCCCGGTCATGAAGCTTATGCGGATATAGCAAACAACAAAGACATGGAGAGAACACGGGTCGCTAAGGTTTGCCGACCGCCGCTTATGCTTCAAGTTTCGAGATCTCCTGACATTCTCCTCCTCCGTGATTGCAGGTTGACGATGTGACCTTGGCGCGTCGTGGTGAACAGGTTGTTGGCACCCTCCACCTCACCCCTCATCATATCATCTTCTCTCATATACCGTCGCTGCCGGACAGTGCACAACCTTCCACTACACCGATTAGACCAAGAGAGCTTTGGATCACCTACCCTATCATCTCTTTCTGTACCTTCCGCCCCGCTCCGGCTGCTTCCCGCCAACCATCGTCGATCCGTCTGCGTTGCCGTGACTTTGCATTCGTTTGTTTCTATTTCACTAGCGAGACGAGAGGCCGTGATGTTTATGAGAGTATAAAGCAGTGGACATGCAAAGTTGGGCGGATCGAAAAACTCTACGCTTTCACTTACCAGCCACCACCTCCCGAGCGGGAACTCAACGGCTGGGAGCTGTATGACCCACTGAAAGAATGGGCGAGGCAGGGGGTAGACCGGGATAACCATGGCTGGCGTATCTCTCGCATCAATACGGACTATACGGTAATAACCTACCAGTGTGGCGGGCTCGATAATGTGGTTAACATGAACGAAATTTCCTAGTTCTCCCCGACGTATCCTGCGCTCTTGCCGGTCCCGTCCTCTATTTCTGATAATACGCTTAACTATGCGGGGCGATATCGATCTAGGGCAAGAGTGCCCGTGTTGACGTATCTTCACCCCGTTAATAACTGCTCGATCACAAGAAGCTCACAACCCCTGGTGGGTGTGCGTCAAAATCGAAGCATTCAGGACGAAAAGTTATTAGCTGCGATTTTCTCGACCTCTCGTTCCGAGAGACCGCTAGCAAATTTCAACCCAGCGCATTTAGATCGAGAATCATCTAGTTCAACGCAAGGCGATGCAAATGATGAGACCGTGACTGATTTAGCCAGGACGGAAGACTTGGAGGATGAGCTGTTAACTTCATTCTACGGGGACTCGGACGGCAAGCATCAGGTATATGGTGCTCAACAGCACAACTTGATTGTCGATGCACGGCCGACAGTAAATGCATTTGCGATGCAGGCTGTTGGCCTCGGCTCGGAAAATATGGACAATTATAAGTTTGCAACCAAAGCATATCTCGGAATTGACAACATTCACGTTATGAGGGATTCCTTGAATAAGGTGATTGATGCCTTGAAGGACTCAGACGTCACCCCGCTAGGACCAAATAGAGATCAGCTTGCACGCAGTGGGTGGTTAAAGCATATTACTGGAATTTTAGATGGCGCGGGCTTGATTGCCCGCCAAGTTGGCCTTCAACACTCGCACGTATTGATACATTGCTCGGATGGGTGGGATCGGACCGGACAGCTTAGTGCTTTAAGTCAGATATGTCTTGACCCTTATTATCGTACGATGGAAGGCTTCATGGTACTGGTGGAGAAAGATTGGCTCTCCTTTGGGCATATGTTTCGGCACCGCTCTGGACACTTGAACAGTGAAAAGTGGTTCCAGATAGAAAATGAAAGGATCGGAGGTGATTCCAGTCGTGGCTTCGGGGAAGCCGGCGGTGCGGGCAAAGCCATCGAAAATGCATTCCTTAGTGCCAAAGGGTTCTTCAACCGAGATAACACAAGTCGTGACTCTCTTCCCGAGTCCGATGGAGAAATGCAAAGCTACGATTCAGATACTCCTGGTACTAAGAAACTCAGTTCCGTTCCAAAATCGGTTACCCCTGAAAAGGAGATGACGAAGGTGAAAGAGACTAGTCCGGTGTTCCATCAATTCCTCGATGCAACCTATCAACTGCTGTACCAATACCCGACACGATTCGAATTTAACGAGCGGTTTTTACGCCGGCTGCTGTATCATCTTTACTCGTGTCAGTACGGCACCTTTCTCTATAACAGTGAAAAAGAGCGTGTGGAGTCGAAAGCGAAGGAGCGCACCCGGAGTGTGTGGGACTATTTCCTCGCCCGGCGAGAGCAATTTCTCAACGCGAAGTACGATCCCCATGTTGATGATCATAAGCGTGGGAAAGAACGCCTCATATTCCCACGGCTCAGTGAAGTCAGGTGGTGGAGTGAGGCATTTGGTCGAACGGATACAGAAATGAATGGCATTCGTTCGACTGGATCCCCTCCTGCGCAACGCGAGAACATTGATATGGAACGATCACCGGTGCTGACTGGCATCGAGACAGCCCAGGATGCTGTCACCAGTAGCACCGGTATGAAAGGGGCTCACAATGCTGCCTCAGCTGGCATGGCAGCCGTCACGTCGGGGATATCGAGTTTGGCTTTCTCCAAGCCCAAGGAGAACGGGCAAGACCCCAGAAGTATGGGTCAGCTTGAAGTTGAAATGCAATGAACGAGTTTTAAAAAGAAATGTTGGGTATCAGGGCATATTGATGAATCGGTGTATTTACAGGCGCTGACAGGGTATCGGTCCGCATGCCATGGGCATAAATCTTTGCTTATGAATAGGTGGATGATTGTGTGCTTGGCTTTGTCAATTGTTTGTTCTTCAAATCTTCAGTTGTTCTCGGTATATGAGTAGAGAGATACAGCAAGGGGAACGGTGAACCCGTGATTTCAAGATTTGCGCTGGACTTGTCGGCAATGCGAGCATAGCAAGATGGGCAAGTGTTTACTACGAGTACGTAGAGGTAGGGACTTAGAGGTATGGAGAGCTCATTGCCTAAAGTAGTTAAAGTTCGATTGTAGGATCCATAAGAAAGGGTGCCTGAGGCCACAAGCGGGCTTGGCAGGCTAGGTCCAAAAAGGGAAGGGGCACAAGCGACGGGCCAGGGTTAACCCTATCACAGAATTGGGAAGGGGAAACCCTAAACGGCAGAAACCCCACTAAAGGCCGACTGTTCAAAACTGATCGAACGGCAGCCGACTATTTTCGCCTTTGAACGACATCCCAACTTTGGTGCTCCGCAACCACCGTCCTCGGCCGTTTCTTCGACAACTTCATCCACCCAACAGAAACGCAATCATGGCTGCTGTCCAGGGAGCTATTTCGAAGCGCCGCAAGTTCGTCGCCGACGGTGTCTTCTATGCCGAGTTGAACGAGTTCTTCCAGCGCGAGCTGGCTGAGGAGGGCTACTCTGGTGTTGAAGTCCGTGTCACTCCCACCGTCACCGATATCAGTACGTCGCCCGATTGAGATTCCATTGCTTTTCTTTGCACTTGTTTTGTGGGAGGTCGAAAAGAATTGAGCGATGAACAATGGAAGGGGAAACAAATTTCTATAAGGAATACAAAATGAAAGAGGCGGAATGAATTGGATGTTTACTGGTGCAAAATTGTCGGGAGAGGATCATACACGAATGCTAACGGATGCTCTTTTTTCTCTGCAGTCATCCGTGCCACCCACACCCAGGAGGTTCTCGGTGAGCAGGGCCGCCGCATCCGCGAGCTCACCTCCCTCATCCAGAAGCGCTTCAAGTTCCCCGAGAACTCCGTCTCCCTCTATGCCGCCAAGGTCCAGAACCGCGGTCTCTCCGCCGTCGCTCAGTGCGAGTCCCTCCGTTACAAGCTCCTCAACGGTCTTGCCGTCCGTCGTGCTTGCTACGGTGTTCTCCGTTTCATCATGGAGAGCGGTGCCAAGGGTTGCGAGGTTGTTGTTTCCGGAAAGCTCCGTGCTGCCCGTGCCAAGTCCATGAAGTTCACTGTACGTTCTCTCGCATATTTCGTGGAATCGTGTTTTTGTCGGCGAATAAGAGCGGTGTGAAAAGAGGGATAATGCGTCGCGGTTATACGAAGGGATGGAATTCAACAGCATTGCTGACATATATCTGGATATAGGACGGATTCATGATCCACTCCGGTCAGCCCGCTAAGGACTTCATCGACAGCGCTACCCGTCACGTTCTCCTCCGCCAGGGTGTCCTTGGTATCAAGGTTAAGATCATGCGCGGTTCCGACCCCGAGGGCAAGGCCGGCCCCCAGAAGACCCTCCCCGACTCCGTCACCATCATCGAGCCCAAGGAGGAGCAGCCCGTCCTCCAGCCCATGAGCCAGGACTACGGTGCCAAGGCTATCGCCGCTCAGCAGGCTGCCGAGCAGCAGCGTCTTGCCGAGCAGCAGGCCGCCGAGGGCCAGGAGGGTGCTGGTGCGGAGACTTTCCAGCAGGAGTAATTGGTTTCATTTTCTTAGGCCCTGCTCTTTTTTCTTCGTTCCTGTCGTCCTACCTGATATCATTACCTGACGCAAATAAACAACTACATGATCTTCCATTTGGTTATCTTCCTCCGCTAGCAAGCTAGGAAAGGCGTCTTCCCGTCCCACAGCTCTGTTCCTGAATTCCTAGTGAAACATCTAGGTAGGAAAAGATAATGTCCGATACGAAACTAGGGGGCAAATAAAAAAAAGCAATTTACGGTTCATTATGTGCAACGAATCATTAAAATTACAGGAGAAACATAACCACGGCCAATATCCAGTAGACATGGTAGTGCAAGCGCATGTGGCCATTCATTTAATCGCCCTTTTATGAACTTGTAGAATTACGACATTGCAATTCTACCCTGACGCATCAATCCAGTCATTATGTAGACAGTAGCAGAGTGAAGCAGAATTTATATATCAATATCACTTTTCTTTTGTTATTTTAAATGCTCATTCATGACATCAACTATCTTTCTAAACATATATCCGAACCATGAAACATCTAGAATCTACGCACGTTCGCTCGCTCTACTATCATAGCTCATAGGAAAGCCTCGATGTTGAGCTCCAGCGTGCTGACTGGGTATTTCAGTTCGTACTTCTCCAATACTGTAGGGTGCAAGATACCGAAGGCACCAATGACGTGCTCCTTGCCGCCAATGCGCACGTGGACAGACGCGGCGTGGCCGGGGAAGTAGGTTGCCTCTGGAATGTATGTTAGAGAAAAAATTCTATAGCAGCAGGGTGGTAGTGGTAACTGAAACTTACCGTCAAGCTCCTCGATCCAGTACTGCGAGTCGCTCATACCGGGGTTCTCGAGACCCTCCTCGCCGGTGATGAACGCACTCTTGAGCATGGACATGACGCGATCCAGAAGACCATGGACGACTTCGAAACCACTGTTTTTGCCGTACCAAGCGGCGGCAAAGTGTCTCTCGTTCCGGCTCTTACGCTCGAGCGAAAGGTCCTTGAATGCCACATCGCTGACCTCGAAGATCTTCATGGGAACGGTATGGTGCTTGTTTTCACGAATGGTCTTCAGAAGACCAGGCAAGAGACTTGTGCGGACGACCTGGAACTCCAGTGTCTTGGGGTTGGCCAGCTTAACGGCAGTGTTACCATCATCCTTGCGGTTGAGCCAGGCGAAGTTCTCGTCATGGGAGCATAGGATGAGAGGCAACACCTCAGACCAGCCCGCCATCGCAGCCTCAGTTCGGACAATGTCGGAGAGCTTGTTGATAGGTAAGGGCTGGGCGATGGTACCAGACTTGCTTGGGAAGGACCGTGGGAGGTTGTTGAAGCCGTAAGCAATGGCGACATCCTCCATGATATCTGCTTGGTGGAGGACGTCAGCACGAGTAGGAGGGATGTCCACGTCGATCAGATCGGCGGATTCCGCAGAGGGTCTAGCGGTATAGGCCATCTTCGTCAGGATCTTCGCGATTTCCTCTGCAGAAAGGTTCAAGCCGCAGCATTGGTTAAGGTAGGAGACCTCAGCCTGGGTTGTACGAGAAGACATATCCGGCGTAACTCTAGTCTCGCCGTTATGGTCGGAGACGATTTGGACTGGCTCAATTCTATGAAGAGATTAGACCATCGGAACTTGGAACCGGGAGGTAATAGGAAGTCTTACGTGAAAGGCTCCGAAGTATATTGGGAGAACATCGCAACCATCATCTTGTTGACGATCTCAACCTTCGTCTTGTCAAGGGCAGTAATCTCGATGAAAACGTTCTTAGTGTCCAGGGTGATCTTAGAATGATCGCCATTGATGATGGGAGGCAGTGAGCAAACTGTCCGCTTCGAATCGTAGATGACGGGGTAGACAGGGGAGTCGCGAATAATGTGAAGGTATTTACCCAGGTGCTTGTCTTTCTGTTTACAGAAGTAAGCATCTATCCTAACCTACCGCATATGCAGTAGCCATACCTCGTAGAAAGTCATCAACTCCTCTCCGTTCATTTCCTGGGTCTGGTTCAAAGGAACAAATCTGATGTCTTTGGGTGGCAAAGCCTCGTAGGTGAAAGGTCCTTGTATCGTATCCAAGTCGTGAGTACCGATCGAAACGAGCGTTCTTTGTCTTGCAAGGTTCTGGTGGAGCTTGTCTTGCAGGGCGATGAAAGATTCATAGCGAGCTTGATCGAACTTGATATTCCGCAGGATAGCACCAGAGACCAAGGGTCGGATTTTCGTAGTCTTGGCCATATATCTTCAGCTTGGGTTCATCGTGTTTGCACTTCTAAGAACTACTTACATCTTCTTTTACAATGATCTTCTGCAGCTCACCGTTTGCGGGCTCGACCAGCCTGTAGTTGGGCAGAGATTTTCGACCCAAGAAGATGTTGAGCATGAGGCAATGCCCTCAAAGCACAGCATGTCATATCTGCAGATATCTCAGAATATGTACCATATATAAGTCACTCGGAAATCAGTGGGTGCGTACCGGTTGGCCGGGATTTCGATCTTGAGCTGAGGAGGTTCCTGCACTCCATCCACGATTGGTCGGTCTGAATTTGTTGTCTACAAGTTTCCGTTCAGTATTCCATATTGCGACGGGGGGAAGGTAGAGGCAGGAGTTATTACATCTTCATCGAGCTCAATACCTGTTTAAACTAAGTCAGCGCGGGCCCCGCTAAAAAACTACTCAGATAACTCCGACATACCGAATTCGAAGCACAGCTCATCAAATTCCTCGGTGGTGTACCTGAAAGAGTAAAAAAGAAGTATTAGCAAAAGACATGAACAAATTGGAAAGGTCTTCCCATACTCCCGTCCGAGCTCCTTGAAGAGCGCGGCCTTGTCGACCGAGATAGTGGGCATGGTGAGGGGTTGGGTATTTGCGATTCAAGGTCAAGAGATCGGGGCTCAAAAGGGTTCAGTAAGCCTCCCACGCACAGAAGACGACTCTGTGAAATGGTCCAAAAGTCCAATGGCAAGGGTGTTCGTGTGCGGGGTTCAGTGATTGCGCTGAGTCTATGCCACCGGTGGAGGAGTCATAAAGTCCGTGGCACTTTTGTTCCCCGTTAGGAACTTGGGGCTTGACCCTCACGGCGGGCGCTGAGCCAGCCACATCTCAGTGCACCGCCACCGATTTCACCCCTCCCTAAATTCATTCCGGGACGGCAGATTAACTACGCAGACAGTCTTGCACCAGCCACAAGCCCCATTGCTTTCCCAAAGTCACGGTGACCAGCAGACCGTCACCTTCGCAAGATTCCTCCAGAACAAAGCTTCCCCTCCACTCGCAATCTCCGTCAAATATATTCCCACCTTGTTCTTATTTTCCATTATCTTGTTTCGTGAACATTTTAATATCTTATGATACACTAACGCCAGACGATTGTTCGCTCGGTACCAGTCCAATTGTCGAGGTATGATACTGCTGCTATTATTGCTCACTTGTCTGTCCTGCGGCGGCCCAAACCCCACGAAACCTCTCGCTCCGGGGTTCTTGCAAACCACCTATCCCTCCCTATACCACTGATATTCTTCCCGACAGCTGAAACTAATCCGCATTCGAGCAGCCTCCGCACATTGTCGTTACTTTATATGACAGCCTACCATTTTTAGAAACATTCCCCCCTCCCCCCGTAATTATCGCCGCGTTCGCGTGATATCAGATCGACCAGTGGTCTAAGTGAGGACTTGGACCTGTCACGTCCTCGCCTCTCTAAATCGTCTCCTTTGTCTGATAACACAACATACAATACAACAAATTCGAGATGGAGGGTCAGGGTGAAAACGACGAGCTCTACCCTATCGCTGTTCTTATTGACGAGTTGAAGGTATGGTACTCCGTCCTGATGGCGCGGCGCCCCTACGAATAAACATCGATGGATCTAATCCCCGGCTTTTCTAGCACGATGATGTCCTCATCCGTCTCAATGCTATTCACCGCGTTTCTACCATTGCATTGGCTTTAGGGGCTGAGAGGACCCGGGAGGAACTCATTCCATTTCTTGACGGTCAGTCTCCAGTCATCACTCGTGGACCAGCTAGGAAATCAGAGCACATCTAATATGATCCATAACAGATTCTGTTGAGGACGAAGATGAAGTGTTGACTGCGCTGAGCGAAGAACTGGGTAACTTCGTAGAATATGTTGGTGGTCCGGAATATGGGCATGTTCTCCTTTCCCCCCTTGAGAACCTGGCGGCTATCGAGGAACCGCTGGTTAGGGAGAAGGTAAGATACAACAAGGAATGAATCCGTTGATCCTATACTTACAGGACACTAGGCTGTTGAATCCCTCAACAAGATCGGCGAGCAGCTTTCCGAGAAGCAGATTGAAGAACATTTTATCCCTATGGTCCTACGTCTGTCAAAAGCCGACTGGTTTACCTCAAAAGTCTCCGCAACAGGCCTTTATTGCATTCCATACAAGAAGTCTGGCCAAGCATTGCAGCAGAGTCTCCGACAATATTTCGGAGGTCTGGTACATGACGACACGCCTATGGTGAGAAGACAGGCTGCCAACAACTTGGCGAAGTTTGTCAAGGAAATGAAGACCCCAGTTGTCATTGAAGAAATGATACCCCTATTCCAATACCTGGCCAGCGATGACCAGGACAGCGTTCGCTTGCTTACAGTGGATATTCTTATCTCGATTGCCGAGGAGATCCCCAAGGAGCAGCAGCCTAGCCACGGTGTTTTGTTGACATCCTTACGGAATCTCTTTGAGGATAAGAGTTGGAGAGTCAGATACATGGTTGCCGACAGATATGAAAAGGTACGCCGTCCGAGCACTGCAAGATCAGTTTGCATCTACTTTTTCTAATCAATTTTGCTAGATCGCCAAAGCTGTTCACGAAGAAGTTATCACTCGGGATATGGTACCCTCGTTTGTTAAGCTCTTGAAGGATACGGAGGCTGAAGTCCGTACTGCGATTGCTGGCCAGATTCCCGGTATTTGTTCCATGACTGACTTGATACGGTTCCGGGACTAACCTCAAGATAGGCTTCTGCAGCTTGATTGATCGGGAGACGCTGCTTAATGAAATAATGACCAGCGTGGAAGACCTTGTTTCGGACCAATCTCAGCACGTGCGTGCGGCTTTGGGTACTCAGATTAGCGGACTTGCCCCAATCCTTGGAAAGGAAGAGTTAGTACAACCAATTGTCTTGAAGCTGATGAACTAGTGAAGCTTACAACTATTGCCTAGGACTATCGCTCACCTTCTCCCAATGTTCCTCCAAATGCTCAAAGATGAGTTCCCTGATGTCCGTTTGCACATCATCTCGAAGCTAGAGTTGGTCAACAAGGGTAAGCGTGGAATTTGAAGACATAGTTGCATCAACTAACATTTCATAGTTATTGGCATTGAGCTGCTTTCTCAGTCGCTTCTTCCCGCTATCGTACAACTAGCAGAAGACAAGCAATGGCGTGTCCGTCTTGCTATCATCGAATATATCCCTCTCCTCGCCAGCCAATTGGGAGTCAAGTTCTTCGACGAGCAACTCAGCGATCTCTGTATGAGCTGGCTCGGTGACACCGTCTTCTCCATCAGAGAGGCCGCTACGCAGAACTTGAGAAAGCTCACGGAGGTATTTGGGGTTGACTGGGCTAAGGGCTCTATAATCCCGAAGGTCATGGCCATGGGACAGCACCCCAACTACCTTTACAGAATGACAACTTGCTTTGCGATCTCCGTACGTATATGATATATCCCATGGGAATGCAAATTCGACTAACGTCCTCTCCAGACACTCGCCCCTGTTGTCTCTTTAGATATTATTGAGAACTCAATTCTTCCCATCCTGGACAGATTGGTCACTGACGAGATTCCAAATATTCGATTCAATGTTGCCAATCTTATGCTGTGTTGATTGACACATTGCGACGCCTGCCAGCAGAGGGCACTCTGGCTAACGTGGAAGGAAAGACAGCGACACCATCGCCGCGTAGTCAGGACCTTATCCAGCAGAGAATTATTCCCAGCCTGGAGAAGCTTCAAGGGGATGATGATGTGGATGTCAGGTACTTTGCAACAACTGCTGCGGGCGGTAATGATGAAGTCATGCAGACTTCACCATAGGCTGTTGACCTAGCTAGATAGATGCTCCCACGCTGTATGAAGGCCTTTCAGTGCGAGTGGGAAATGATACAACGGCAATCACACTACTTTTGGGAGGACTGTCAATTTTGTTACCTTAGAAATGGGCCAGAGTATTTGACTGGGCTGAAATGCTTAATGGCGTTCTAAATGTAGAGTTTTCTTGGTCCATTGTTCAATAATCATGCACAAATCCAATAACACCACACCTAACATCTTTGACCTACTAGTACTACTAGTACATAAACGTCCATATCGCAGTCAGCAAGTCCTACTAGTAATTATTCCTATCCTATCGGTATTTAATCAATCATGTGATGTGCGGGCTGGCCACTGGTAAGCTATGCATAACTAAGACAACCAAAAATAGTTCCGGTTACCATACCAGTTACCAACTTCTACAACCTACTACTAGTACCTACCCTTCCACTTTCTTTCTTCCTTTCTTTCTTTCTGTCTGTGAAGGTTGATCCACTTTCCAATTCATCCATTATAATTCGTGGTGAAGATACTTCTCCAATGTCACTACAGTGGCCTTGGCACTTTGTTTCTGTTTCTCCCACGGAGAAACAACATCGCCGCGAGCTTCTAGATCTTCGCGGATATTGTGCACAATGCTCGTTCTTACTTTTTATAGTACTTGTACGGGTATATAACAGCTACTTTCGAGCTGCTGATAAACCGAATGACTCCCGCACCCGCCGTAGGCAGAGGTCATGGTGGGATCTGCCCCCTTTTACAAATTGGACAGAGACACGTAAGCAGTATACTATCTGTATTACTTGGCTGGTGTGCCTGTTAAGCCTCTCAGCATGGAATTCTGGCAATGGTATGCTGCTTCCTTCTCCCTCTGACCCATTGAATATAAAGTGCTTTCGCTCCCTTGTAAAAATATTTATTCGCACCCATCAATTCCGCTGAAATTGGAAAACCGAGATGAAGCTAACTACCACACAAACAGACTACCTACATCTCACCAAAGCCCTAGGTCACGTAGCTCTTTCCCAGCTACCCTTCCAAATTCTCATGGCCCCGGCATTCTATCTCAACCCCAAAAGTCCAGCCACGGCATCCACGATGTCCTACTTGACATCTATTTCGCAACCAGCACTGACTCCATATCACCGCCTTTTCGGCAGGATAGTCATGTCCCCATTACTAGCCGGGCATGCCGCATTGTACCTAAACTTCTTCGCCCAGTCTAGTCATCCAGATTTCGGTTCTTTGCTCGCAAAGCGTATCCAAGATCCGGACGTTCAGTGGGGATTTGGCGGTCTGACTTTCGCAATTGTGATACTGTTGTTTATCCGGCCGTTGCGTACTGCATATTGGGTGCGATTGTGGCCAGCCTCTTCTGTTAAGGCTAGGAGAGAGGTATTTTACTATGTGCACGTTTCGTTGGTGGCGTTGTTGTGTGTTGCGGCGTATTTCCATGTGGCTCAGGCACAGATCTTCGTGATTGAGGCTTTGGGTGCTTCGGCTCTCAACGTGGTGTGTGGTTTGCTGCTGGGGTAGATGAACCATCTTATGATGTGCCTATGGTATTTTGTGGGCTTGGTTGCTTGTGTAATATATGAAATTGATGTCTGAGGAATAGACTCTTTGGTTTATGGGATACCGTGGAAGTTGTAGGTTGAGTGAGGATGCTGCGGGAGAGGATGGGCGGTCTAGCCATTGAGGTGCTTCAGGGATCAACAGATCTTAGTCTAGGACTTGGATAGATTCTGCGTAATCTGAGGGAGGCAGCCATCATTGTCTGGTTTGTTCGAGAGGTTAATTTATTGGAGTATACAAGTGGTAGTATTCACAGCATATGAAACTTCCTTATTAAATACTTGTAAAATATATGTATTACTATACCTAAGCATCAATGAGAATAGCCCTAACTTGGACCTCACAGAACGGCGCATGGGATGCCTGTATTTGTAGGCTGTAATAAACCGGTAAGTTAACTAATATGATTTCCTACATATATATAAATCCTCGCGATGTTTTGGTTAATCATGAGCTCATATGGCATAAGGGTGCAAAGATGCACCATCGACATGACCTGTGACGGCAAAGGCTATCTTCATTCTTATGATAGGGTTGAAGGGTACTCCGTAGCTCCGTCCCAGTTGAGCAACATCCTCCCACAGTTGGAGCTGCAATAACAGAAATACATTACCGGAAATAGCGTGGCAGATGATTTGAGAAAGTTCATACTGAAGAACATTGGAATGCTACTAGTAGTCGAGAACAGTGAAGAGTGGAGACCGAGAACGGGAGGAAGAAAGTGGCCTTCCGTTCGAGGGACCCAAGCCCTCGAGAAAAAGGGGGAACTAAATAACTCAACAAAAGAAAGAAGGTCTATAGCGTGTGCCTGAGTTACGCAGTATATCTCGAGGGGGCACGGGGCAATTCCATCCCCCATCCATCATGGAGGGTTATCAACCGCCTTACTGGAAAGGGCTTAGTGGTCACAGCCATGACTGCACGCCCCACCAGCATGGCCAGGATCGTCGCCAGATCCTCCCCGCTAGGATCAACATCGTTTCGGGGGAAACCGACCAGGAACAGATGTCCGTGTACTGCGCCGTATTTGGGTCATCGGTCGCCAAAGGTTGTCGTCATTCGATGAGGTCAATTTGACCGCTTGATGATTCCGTGTCTCCAAGAGTTGGTCAAGGTCATGATCGTTCCTTTCATTATTACTATCATTCATAAATCCAGAACCTTGACAAAAGAACATGCGACTCTTGGCGGCCATCAACCGTGTGGGGTTTCTGTTTTGAGCCAATTGTTTGTTGACTCGAGGTAGGACAAAGGTATCTCGCCCTTGCGCCTTTGAATGCCCCCTTCGTTCTCCCTTCTTTGCCCGCATGAAGACAGGCATTGACCATGTCCTTCGTTCATAAAAATCGCGTCAATGCTTTTGCCTCGTTTCCCTCCATGCATAGAGAATCTTCTCCAGGCGGCAGAATGCGGCGTCAACGCCTGGTTGTCTCGTTAGCAACCCTCATCTTTGTGTGCATCTCCCTTATTCTACTTAGAGACACAACCGTTCCTCGCTCGTCCAACGGCCTCAATGCGCCATTCGAGGTGAACCCTTTGCCGTCCTCTCACTCGCCCTCTCCTTCGCTCGCGGTGCCAAATCCTCTCGGGCCCGCAAAAGGTCGCCAAGCACTTCATCCAAAAAATGTCCACCCGGTGGCCAGTCTCATTCAAGATGCTGAGCAGGAGTTTACCCACTTGTGGTCGCGACAATCAAAGACTTTGGCCGATGCGGTGAACGAATATCGCCGCCGATATAACATGCACCCTCCACCCAACTTCGACAAATGGTTCCAGTTTGCTCAAGCAAAAGGAGTTCAGCTAATCGATGAATACGATACTATCTATCATTCTCTACTGCCATTCTGGTCTCTAGAGCCGAAGATAATACGAGAAAGAGCTCGTGAAGCCTTGGGATACGACAACGCTATGATCGGAGTTCTCATCCGTGATGGCAAGGTTACGCACACGGAAGGGGCCCGGGAAGGATATGAATGGCAGCAAGATGCGACTGCTGACATGTTGAAAAGCTTTATTCGGTACTTGCCGGACATGGATGTAGTATTCAACACCCACGATGAGCCCCGAGTGATTGTTCCCAGCGACGACCTCCAAAGGCTGGTTAACTTTGCCAAAGATCATGCAATCCCCAAGGCTTTCCACAAGCAATCATTGGTGAACAAATGGTCAGATAAGCCTGCCGACCTGAATAAGGGTGACCGGGTTGATGAGGTGCGCACCACGCGCTTTAACCGATTTGCGCACCAACCTACCTGGACAAGCTCTCGGGCTTCCTGTCCACTAGATACCCCTGCACGTTCCCTCAACGAGAGCGAGCCAGATAATTTGGAGGCCTATGCGCATGGTGACTTGGGGTTCGTCTACAACACGACCGCATTTTCTGACATATGTAACACGCCTTCTCTTCGGTATAAATATGGCTTCTTCGACCGGGCCAACGCATTCGACGTGGTCCGGGACCTGTTCCCAGTATTCTCTCAAAGCAAGATCTCAAGCTTTCAGGACATACTCTACCCCAGCCCGTGGTATTGGGTTGATAAGGTACCGTATGAAGAGGGAAAGGATCAGAGTTGGGACGCGAAGGCCGACAAATTGTACTGGAGAGGCTCCACAACCGGTGGGTTTGCGCGGGCCGGCGGATGGCGACGTCAGCATCGACAGAGATTCGTCAGCAATATAAACACTCAGAGCATAGCGAAAGTACTGTCTAAAAATGGCAGTGACCAGTGGGAGTTAAACGAAGTCAGCCACGATCCTTACCGAGAGCATTTCGATGTCAAGTTTACATACATTGGCCAATGTGACCCGAATGACTGTGCTGCGCAGGAAGAATTTTTTGTTGTGGGTGAACCAGCCGGCCAGCAGGACGCTTGGGCGTATAAGTACCTGGTCGATATCGATGGGAATGCTTTCAGTGGCCGTTATCATGCCTTTCTACGCAGCCATAGCTTGGTTTTTAAAATTGCCATCTTCCGCGAGTGGCATGATGAATGGCTCAAGCCATGGGTTCATTACATTCCTTTGAGTTTGACGGGCGATGAGTATGTGGAAACTACGAGGTACTTTGTTTCAGAAGACGAAGGCAGGACCGCAGCACCACGATTAGCTGAACAGAGTCGGGATTGGGCGCAAAAAGCCTTGCGCCGTGAAGACTTGGAGGTCTGGTTTTTCAGACTCTTGCTAGAGTGAGTGCTTTCTCCCCACATAATTAGACAGTTCCTAACATTGGTCGAATAGATACGGACGCCTAGTCGACGACAATAGGGAGAACCTGGGATTTTCTCTTTGATTGACATCTGTATGACTGATCTCATTCATCATTTATCTCACGATCCCATGTATGGCTCTCTTACTGTGCAATTTGGCTTCTTTCTTTGCTTTGCTTTGCTTACATTTATGACTACTTTATGCCCTGTACAATACCCATGTCGACATGATCTCGAACTGACTGGATGCATTAAATGGGAGGGGTTCTGGCGTTTTTGTACACTTATTTACTATCAATCCATTTGATGGGCTATCCTATACCAACAATCTTTATCATTTCTGTTGTCATGGCAACAGAAACCCACGCAAATGGGCGGTTCTTCTGCGACCTTCGACATATTGATGTCTTCGTAGACTTACTACATGTTTTAAATAGCAACCGTGGTTCTGGTATATGATTTCGAGAAAAAGCACATTATACACTGTATAAATTCCAGCCAGTCAGTATGTAGGGAAGTCGTAGTGTAATGCCCACATCCACCAATAGTGCAAGTCCATTATTGGATAGGTATTCAAAATGCACTGTATCTCCCCAGTAAAGACAACATACCTGGGACTTTATGAAGAAGACTGCACACTTTAGGTTTAATGGTGAATGGTAGGTTTAGTGGCCTGAACAGTGAGGCAAGAAGAGTACTCTACAGAATCACATGCGCCCAAGTGATGTCAACCCGTTTAAACCTCCCGCCCGCAGCCACTAAAGCTAATATATAGAGAGAGAGCTGCTGGGTAGCGGAAAACTGCTCCTCCTTTCTTGAAATTATCCTGAGTTTTAAAATCCACTCATGATCTCCATTTCAAAAGTGTACAGTTTCCCACATCATTTATTTTCTGAAAGTAGAGCTGAAGTTTGCTGTCGATTTCCCCACCGCGTCCGGAACATCTGATTCTTGCCATCGTGTAACGGGGGGCCGCACTCCTAGAGATGCACAACATGGCTAAAGCATTGTCGGGCATACTGAAACATGCTGTCGTGTTTACTTATGGGCTCTTCACTTTGATTCTTTACGGACTCACGGCTATACGAAAAGGGTACTTCTTTCGGGGGTCCACCGAGAAAGAGAATCTGGAGTTGCAGCTGGGTATGTGGTGAATCGTATCACCCGATTGCAGTTGGTATTTCTCCCACTAACCTGTGGATCTTCTCAATAGCTCGCGATCGCTTCTGGAATCTTTCGAAAACCTGGTCCGGCCTTTCTCACTATTATATCACCTTGCGAAATGGCTTCAGGTTCCATTATGTTTCTAATGACCTCCCCAGCAGCCCCGCAGCTGATAAACCATTGATTATATTTATCCATGGGTTTCCTGATAGCTGGGCTGTATGGCGCCACCTCCTTAAATCGAAGGCTCTGCAGGAGGCGGCCACTTTGGTCGCAGTTGACTTACCCGGATATGGTGGTACTGATAGCCTAGAGGAATACTCATCGACGAACGTGTTGGAGAACTTGGCAGGTTTTATCATCGCTATCAGGGCAAAGTACGGGGTCGATACTGCTGCCGGTACGCGCCAAAGAAGGACTATGATTGTGGGCCATGACTGGGGCTGCGTCCTTTCCATGCGCCTTGCCGCCGAAGCTCCTCAGTTGGCAGATCGATTCGTCTTAAGTAATGGGCCATTGGTATGTATATTTGATGTAGGATGATACTGCCTACTACGCGACTGACTTGGTCTACAGATTAGCATGGTTGCCTCCAATATTCGTCGATCGCTATCTTCGTCGCTGAAAATGTTCAAAACGGCCCTGCGTTCACCAATTAATTCTCGCTCGATGCTTTGCAAAGCAGTCAAGTCGCTAAAGCCAGTTGCCCGCCAGCTACTTCTTTCAGGGTATATATTTGCGATGCAACTTCCCATGCCCTTCGTTGTGTACCTTGGTACAGGTGGCAACTATTCTTTCTTGAAAATGGCCCACAGGGGATCATATGGGAATTCGCCATTCAGCCTCGAAGATGCTGCTGAGTGTATGGCAAGCTCATTGGGCCCGTCCGTGGAGGAATGCAGAACACAAACATCTGATGGTGAGGGATACCCTGCTTCGGTTGTAAAGGAGCGCGCCCTTGGCAATTTCCAGCACATGGCCCGCTACTATCGGGAAAAGGCGGCTACTTCGCGCTGGCAGAAATCTATCGAAACGATTGCCGATCTGCACAGCATATCGGGAGGAAATGAGCTTCGTCGAGCTAGTAGCGGGGCTGGACTGTTTGACGATGGGCCGACTGGTGTACTGAAAGCTCATTCGACCATTATCTGGGGCAAAGCTGATATCGCTTTGGATCCACAAATGTGCTTGGATGGGTTTTCGGATTATCTGGTCCGTAACAGTCAAGTGGTTGAGCTGCCCCGGTCTGGGCATTTCACCCCACTGGAGCGTGAGAGCTGCGCTGCATTGATCCGAGCTGTCGAATGGGCCGCTCGAGGTGAGCAGGAGGAAATTGGAGCTGCGATTCAGAGAGATTACCCGGATGCGGTCGTAACAGTCCGAAAATGAAAACAAAACGCCTTGCCCCTTGACTGGGAACGGGGATAGTGCCGAAGTGGTCGCGATGTCGGGGCGTTGATGTTTGCTCTGTGTTTGCGTTTCTTATGCTTCTTTGTATGACTGGGCAGCGCCGCGGGAGTAAGTAACGAATAACGATGGGCGATAACGGAGGGGGCCTATTATGGAAAGATTGAGAGTTTGCTGATGAACGCACATACTTAATGATACCCCTGCATACTAGTAATGAAAACACGGGATCTGAGCGCCCGTGGCACGGGTTCTCGACCGGACTTTTTGCTTCCAAGCTTCCTCTTCTTCCTGCCTCCGATTACTTGGAGCTTCTCCGCTTTTCCCCTCATCGTCCGATTTCTTTCAATTTCAGGTACCTGGATAAGCAGTCCGATCTACAGCTTCAATATCTACCTCCCTAGCATTGCAACTTATGCCTTGTACATTTTGCCCACTGGTCGCAATGGAACGATTGTAATCTGTCCTGACGGGCTGCCGTTCCTGCAGCAATCCACTTTTTGTCGGATCCATCATCATACAAGCTCGCTCCTGTTGGCGTATTTTGGTGGGCGGGGTTAGGAGCCCCTAACGTCACCTGCCTGTCTCAGTGGGAAATCGTACATTAAGACCCCCAACCTACTTTTGTCGATTCACTTGTTTACATCCAGTTTTCTACCTTTGAAGTAGAATCTCAATTATCGACGGGATGGCTAGTGCAGAGGACGCCGTGTATTGCACGGTATGTTCATACCTTTCCTAAACCCGAACGACTTTGGCGACTAACATCAATCGCAGCTTCTGTTGAGTGATCACTACCTTCCTGGTAAGACTATGGTATCTCGGTGACTGCCAATATATCTTGTCTAATTGATTCATTGGCCTCAGGCGCTGTCGTACTGGCCCATTCTTTACGCGACAATGGGACGAAAGCCAGACTGGTTGTCCTCTATACGCCTGATAGTTTACTACCGGCCACAATCAGGGAACTCCAGGTATGCCTTCTGTTCCCTCGGTCACACATCTGGTCTCCGCTGCAAGCATTTTGACTGGAACCATTTAGTCCGTATACGACGAGCTCATACCCGTCCACTTAACCTCGAACCACACGCCAGCGAATCTCTGGCTTATGGAGCGACCGGACCTCATCTCCACATTTACCAAGATCGAGCTTTGGAAGCAAACACAATTCAAGCGTATAGTATACATCGATTGTGATGTTGTGGCTGTCAGAGCTCCCGATGAGCTCCTGGCCCTAGAGGTAGACTTCGCGGCAGCTCCCGATGTGGGTTGGCCAGATATCTTCAACAGTGGTGTAATGGTTCTTCGGCCCAATATGCAGGATTATTATGCTCTGAAGGCACTTGCTGAGAGGGGCATTAGTTTTGACGGCGCAGACCAAGGGTTGCTAAACATGCACTTTCGAAACTGGCATAGGCTAAGTTTCACGTATAATTGCACGCCCAGCGCAAACTACCAGTACATTCCCGCCTACAAACACTTCCAGAGTACAATCAATCTAGTCCATTTCATTGGAGCTCAGAAGCCGTGGAACATGTCAAGGCAGGTATCCCCAGCTGAATCACCATACAACCAATTGTTGGGGCGATGGTGGTCTATTTACGATAGACATTACCGTCCTGCCACGACGGTAAGCTTCCTTTTGCTTTGTGATGGTTGACTGCGGTGCAGCTGATAAATTCCCCAGGTACCAATAAATGAGTGGGTTGATGCGTCTGTCCCTCTAGAGCGTAACTTTCAAAGCCATAGAGAAGATTCTGAAACAGTGCCGCTGCCTGTGCAACCCGTCTCCTCCACTCCACAAAATCTGATACCAGAAGTTGCTTATGAGCGACCGTTGGAAACACACACAGAGGTATCATTCGAGCAACCCCCTGTCACGCAAGCGCTGCCCAGGAGTGACGAGACAAGTGCATATGCATCCCCTGAGGCGCAGCCTTGCCAGGAGAGGGAAAATGCACCTGGTCCCGTAGTGACACCTGCTGAGGCAGAGCGACCTATCCAGAAGGAACACCACGATAACAAAAGTGTCCAAGTACCGGTTCTGAGTGTCGTTCCACAATATGTCCGTGGAGAAGAACATGTTTCAGCGTACATACAGCCGCATTATGAAGCACCGATTAGCTCCCATGTCGAGCAACCTCCAGGGACGCAAGTCAGCATACTAGTCACTTCTTCAGCTCCTCCAGATACCGCAAAATCTCAAGTTTACCAGCAATCAGAGGAACATCTGCCTGAAGCGGGTGAACACTTGCAACACTCGCATAAACCTCCCCCAAGTCCTGAGCCCCAGGAATTTGAACCGCCCAGGACGCAGTGGGACCCAGCTCGGTGAGTTACTTTGATAATATTCGCTATGGATAATCTCTGAAGCTTACTCTACTTAGGGAACCGCCACCTCTCAATACAAAACCCGAAGGAATTGCTCTAGAATCAAAGACATACACTATGTCAGAGGACAAAGAGCTTTTCAAGCCCCCTCCATTTTACCCCGAAGCCCCGAAGAATATGTACTATGAAGTACCTAGCACCAAACCGGAACCAGAGAAACTTAGCCAGATTTTCCCTTGGGAGAACCAGGCCCCCAAGCCGACCCGAGTTTTCCTGGATGACGATCAGGGCTCGGTTTCTTTACCTAGCTCCTTGCTCTCTCCAATCACCCCAAAAGAAACTCCCACGTTATCCCTGGGATACACGACATCCTGGCCGACCGAGAAACCATCCGAGTCATGGGACAGCTACACCAGGTCAAATGCATGGGATGATGTTCCAGAGATACAGAGATACATTCAATCCATCGCACCACCTAGGAGGGCCAAAGTCCAGGTTATCGGTGGTTGGGATGGCCCTGCGAACCGGCGAACTGCTGGCACAGTTTCCGGGATGCGTTTGACGGACTTCCCTAGCGAACAAGAGCGGCCCAGTCTCCCCGTAACTCCAGCCCCTATTAGGAGAACCCCGCCTTCTTCTTATGTCCCAGGTGATGAGTCTACCTCGGGGCAGTTACCCATTGCCGAGGGCGTGCCAAGCCAGGAAGAATGGGTGGGTGTCACGGTTGATGTGTTTTTGCATCTCCTGCGAGTGACATACTTATATTGGTGCTTCACAGAACCCGTCAGCACGCCTCGAGGAACTTCAGCGGCATCATTCTGAAGTTCTAGAGAACCCGGATCTACTTCTCGAGCGGATCCAAAGAACATCAAGGGAACGCATGCGTAGGTATCTATAATGAAGGAAAGAAGTTGATCTAGTCCCCTCGGGCTCACTTTTTTCCTGTTTTCATATTTCGTCTCTGTTCTTATTACTATTTCCACTGTATATTCCTATTGTACAGTATGTTACGCATACGCATCGTCCTGTCATGCAGCATGCATGAAGATCAATTGTCCACTTCATGTCTTTTTTTTTGGGTAAGAAGGGCATGTTGGCTAGCAGCAGTTGACTATGTAGTCTAGCACGATTATGTATGTCTCACCTGAATACTCTTGAATAAAAGCCTCATTCATTGAGTCACGTATCCTACAACCAGCATTCTGAAAGATATAAGCATAAGACACCAGAAGGAAGGGAATGCCAACCGACTATCTACACAAGGCTATAGTACAATGAGAATAGGTAATGATATACAGAGACTACCACACTACTGCAAACGACTATTTCCGCAAAGCCAAACATCTCTTCCCTCGGATTGAATAGAAATTCGACTGCTTAATATGAAACGCCTTCCCCGTTTTCTCGTTGAAAACACTAAAGCCATACGTTGCAGCATTCGGCGGCGTATAAAGATGCAAGGACACAGCAACATTATCCGGGTCGGGGTTGGATATCTTATGGAGGCCCAACTTGTCCGACATATACGTAACCTGGTGCTCACTGTACGTAGTTTCCCTCCTGATCTGCGGCGGAGAGATCTGTCCATGCTCGAGCTTACTTTGATCGGGCCATGAGTACAACGTCTCCTGCAGGGACCCTTTCAAAACCTAGTACGCTTGGATTAGCCTAATCACTCGCCCCATCCTTCCCGTGGAAAAGCCATTGTGCGAGAAAGAAGAAAGGATAAGGGACTACCTTCATAACACAATGCGCATTTGCATGATCATGGATAGCACTTCCCTTCCCAGGGCTCCATACTAGAATAAGCTTGACAGGTCATATATGTATCAGCACGTGAGTGAAATTTCATGCATGTATAGGTGCATGTGATTGATCTATGTGAGGGCCGCACGAGGCGGGAAGCAAAACCATGACTCACCAGATTGCTTTTGCCGTTGCCTTCGTCGATTAGATTCCTCGTGTAGGTCTTGCTGAGATCAGGCAGGGCAAATGGCTGCCATTCTTCTGGGTTGGAGGTATACCGGTCCATTAGACGCTGGATGGCGAGCGGGTCGACATCGTCTGAGTCCAGACCCGAGCTCGGACCCAGGGCTGCGCTTAGGTCTTGGACTAGTTGTTCGAAGGCGTTGCTTGCCTGGTTGGTGGCTTCTGGGACTGTGTCTGGTTGGAGGTAGGGCATTCTTTCTTTGTTTGTTTCTCTTTTTTGTCTTTTATTTTAGCTGTGTTTGTTTTTGGTGGGATTGGGATGGTTGTATTTGAGGTGCGGTGTTTTGGGTATGTATGATTTTGGTAGATTTAGTGTTTTTGATGATTGGTAGTTCATGGGGCTTCGAAGGATGACGAACGATGTATGTCGGTATAGCTAATTATAAAGTCCGTAGTGATAGGTATGTTTCAATGTCCAGCTGTAGCTCAACAATAATAGACAGTTGTATATCCCAAACCATGTGCTATGGAAGAACATGTCCGATAACGCGCTTGCCACCCGAGGGTAAGCGTGGATGCCTTATTCACGCCTGAGGCCACAGTCCCCGCCATGTGATCTGTGATCGCTCTCGTTCTTTCTCCGCCCGACTAACGGGCGAATGAAGTGGCGGCCACAATTTCAAAGATTGAGACTCTGCGAAACAACAGTGCAAAACAAGATACGATCATCTTGGGGCTTCACCACAGCGCGGCCGGTGTGAGATAGAAGCTAGAACGTGTATAGGAGCACGGAACTTTGTGACTTATTTCTTATTGTATCTGAATATATTGTGCCTTGTGCGAGGGGTAAAACTCGTATAAAACCGCCAAAATGTCGACCACCGTGGAGAAGGTTGGATCCCGCCCATAGTCTTTTTTAAGAATTCATTAGCACTGTTCTTCCGATAGTGACAGAATCGTTATGCTGACTGGTCATGCGTACTGTAGATCAAACAAATCGAAGATGAGGTTCGTGTCGAAATTTATAATGCGATACTTGCCCGCCAGAATGCCGGACTGACCGATTATTCAGATGGCCCGGACGCAGAAGAACAAGGCGACGGCCTTCCATATTGGTATGCGCAGATGCGGGCGCTAGGTGGTCTCGGACTGGTGTGACTGACGGGCTGTGCAGGACAGTTGAAGGCTAAGCTTGCGAAGCTAAAGCGTGAACTTCTGACCCCAACCGGCGGTGGTGGCGGTGGAGGTGGTGGTAAGTGCTTATGAATAACACACCTTATTGACATGAGCCTGTTCGTTAATTCGGTGAAATTTAGCTGGTTTCGATGTTGCTCGTACCGGTGTTGCTAGTGTGTATGTATTGGATGCAACATTGCCAGGACGACGTTGATACTGACTCGAACTAGTGGCTTCATTGGTTTCCCTTCCGTCGGAAAGAGTACCTTGATGAGCAGATTGACAGGCCAACACTCTGAAGGTATGTGCGGGTGTATCCTGGTGCAGTCTTGATAGGTGCTGATGATCTCCTTTATCCTTGCTACAGCTGCGGCCTACGAGTTCACAACCCTGACGACCGTGCCGGGTCAGGTGCTATACAACGGTGCTAAGATCCAGATTCTCGATCTTCCCGGTATTATTCAGGGTGCTAAAGACGGCAAGGGTCGTGGTCGACAGGTTATTGCCGTGGCGAAGACTTGCCACCTGATTTTCATTGTGCTCGACGTTAACAAGCCGCTTGTCGATAAAAAGGTCATTGAAAATGAATTGGAAGGTTTCGGAATCAGAATCAACAAGCAGCCCCCTAATATCGTCTTCAAGAAGAAGGATAAGGGTGGTATTGCGATTACTAGCACTGTCCCATTGACGCATATTGACCATGACGTGAGCTCTCATCATATCTATGGGTTGAATATAAAACATAGCTGACATGTACTTTTCGACGTGGCTTCCAGGAAATTAAAGCTGTCTTGGGCGAGTACAGGATCTCATCTGCAGATATTTCAATCAGATGCGACGCCACAGTGGACGACATTATCGACGTTCTCGAGGCAAAGAGTCGGGCTTATATTCCTGTCGTATACGCGTTGAACAAGATTGACTCTATCACGATCGAAGAGCTGGACCTGCTCTACCGGATTCCCAATGCCTGCCCCATTAGTTCCGAGCACGGCTGGAACGTTGATGAACTGCTGGAAATGATGTGGGATAAGCTCAACCTCAGGCGAGTCTACACTAAGCCCAAGGGAAAGGCACCCGACTACACTGCACCTGTTGTGCTGAGAGCCAACGCATGCACTATTGAAGATTTCGTATGGTTCCCTTTCCCTCTCACATCCTGTCACAAGAGTGCAAGGCGGTTTATTGACTCGTGATCAGTGTAACTCGATCCACCGGACGATTAAGGATCAGTTCAAGCAGGCTATTGTCTATGGTCGCTCCGTTAAGCACCAGCCGCAGCGTGTGGGTCTTACGCACGAGCTTGCAGATGAGGATATTGGTCCGTAAATCCCTGGCCCCCGAACATCATAAGGCGCTTCCCAGCTAACTTGGCGACTCCAGTGACCATTATTAAGCGGTAAACAGCTTTAATCAATCAAGGTTCTTTAGACCGCGTAAGAGCGGAGAACTTGGTGGCGAATCGTCACGAGATAAACGGGTTGTGTTAGAAGTGTTTCGCTAAGTATACATGTCCAAGAGGCCCAGCCCTTGGAACAGCTTTCGGCGAGATGCCATAGAACGTTTGATTGGGGAAGAGGATGGTTCGCGCACGGGCAGAGCTCTGCCGACTACCGCCTGGATTTGCACGATCATTCGTTTGGGATAGATGACTGAATCATGAAGATAGTTGTTCAGCACTGCTACTCGTGGTGACGCACGGTCGTTTTGGGGCAATCCTGTTTAAGGGGACGAGGAGAGACAAGAAAGTTGACGCTGAGAATCTGGAATAGGGTTTATGGTTCCGCAGTACGAACGATTTCTCCTTTCCATTTTGTGTTTTTTTTTATTTTCTCCGTTCTCGTTGAAAGCGACCACCACTTACATGCTTTTCTCCCGACGGTTGGTCTAGAACGTATGACTGAGACTACTAAAAAAAAGTTAGTAGCAACAAAATTCGAACGATTGACAGAGTTGAGAAAGCTCCGTCCGGTTCTTTTGCTTCCAAGGATCTAAATGTAGCACCCTCCTCTGGTTTACGCGGTCCTCGCGTGCAAGTAAAGATACTAATTATTACACATGCGATGGAGCTTGAGGACTTCTGGAGGAGATTCCCCTTTCGGATCAATTGGAACATATGATGTCACCTGATTGCGTAGCCGGTATGTATATTGCTGGTACCTTAGCTGGGCGAAGGTGACCCACCCCTATACAGCTTGGGTACATCCATACTTTCCAAGAGGCACTTTAGCGGGATCGAGTAGAATTGCGATTCTGTTGGGGTGGCATGGTTGTCTGAAACGGGCGTGGTCCAGATAATTCTTCCCCACAGAGATAAAGCAAAGAAAGGGTTGCAGTCTGGTCGGATCCATGGGCGGACTCCTAAACTGAAGTATACCATGACACCCCATCGACGACGAATCGGCAGTGAAGTGCCGCCATGAAGACTGACGGGACTCTTAGTCGTCGTAGGCCCGAGTGTCAGTGTATATCTCTGCGACTAATCATGCGCCTGCAGGTGCAGGGTCCGGGGTTGCTCTGCTCACGGGCGCATTATGCACCCCCTTTCTGTCCTACTAGTACTCATTCTCATTCCCTGATCTCTGATTCGACCGAGTATATTATTACCGGTACTGACGGGTCACGGCGCAGGAGGGGTAGTCGTATTTCCATACCCAACCTGTCTAGGTTGTCTTACATGATACGCATCCGTATCCGACAAGTTCCTGTCAATTTGCAGATGTTGGAAGTAGTAATGGTCAGGTCTTAACTTTGCATCTGGATTTCTATCCATTTATGGAAATGCCTCTTTCTCCCTTTCCATTCTCGCGGGTTGCACTCGGCACTTGACTTTTATATGGGGGAGTACATCCATACCTGGCACCCATTCAATGGTCGCGTAAAAAAGCCTACCAGTTCCCTCCACCTTTTAGGTTCCATGTTTTCCATGTTACTCTGCCGGTTCCGCCGGACAGATCCATGGATACTACCAGCTCAACAAAACTTACCTGGAAAATTCAAGTCAATTAATTGAATAATAATAAAAGGGAAATTGGGAGGGGGAGGAGAAAACTTGCAGAGATTTATCGTTGACACCACCAATCATGGCTCTTATTTGTCGAAATTGATAATGCACGCTGGGACTTTTTTCCTCGGAGTATAGTACCTACATATACATCCATTTTGTATGTACTTAACGGAGATACCCTGTCTATAATTAACCGTCAGCGACATCCAGAAATTTTTTTTTTTAAAAAAAAGAAAAACTTTTTGTTTTTTTATTTGGAAAAGCGGTCTGCGCGGGAATTTAAAGCTCGGTCACTCTACAACGTTGTATTTGTCTATTTCCCAGCTCGCTGGACTATACTTCTTTGAGGGGGTTCCCCCCTGGAACCTTGATTCATGCACTCATTGAAATTGTGTGTCGTACAGGGCTGTGTTCAGTGGTAAAGTAGCACTGATTCGGGACGATTAAAAGATTGGTTCTATACCTGGATGGTGCGCTATTAAACGCCCAGAGTCCTGACCTGATGGCGAGGGGCAGAGGTTCGTTGAAACAATAATATTAACATTAATAATCATAGTCGAGATTTTAAGAAAAAGAGGAGAAATAAAATACAAAAAGATCAACCAAGGTCAAATTAGAACCATAGTGGCCGCGTGGAGACAAGTACACAGGCAATTATGATCAGCGAAGATACAAAAGGGTGCAATGAGGGTTGTGTCTGAGCAAATACTGTGCCTGATAGCCACTCGTGATTGGTAGCATAACTCGGCTTTTGCCCTGAGATCTGATGTTCTCCAATGCCAACTAATGCACAGCCTCAGCGGATTGACCAAGCTGCTAGTACTATGCCTGAGATCTCGTTATTTCATAAGGTGCTACTGTTTGTCTTAGATGAAGAATTTGAGTGAAAATCTGCTTGTCAGATGACTGTAGATGCGTGTTTTTACCACCGCACTTGTCTGTAGCATGCGAGGAAGTGGAGGCTGCATACGTCTCTTCCTTCTTCCTTCTGGTGGCCCTCATATCTCTAACTGTCGGTGACGGCTTAGTACTCGGGATCTTCTTTCTCACGCCATTTTTTCCTTTGCTTTTTTTTTCGATTTTTTCTCTCTTGTTTTTCATCTTTTCCCTCCACTTTCCTTGTATCAGTTTTAGCATGGATATCGCGGATCCTTCGAGACAGCCACATGACAGCCACTGTCTGTGGCCAATAAGTAGTAACCGTGCCAGACAAAGAATGCTCCCAAAGACTGGTAGATACTACTAGTAATTTGTTGGGGTCGTGATGCTGGACATCTGATTGCTTAGCTTCAATATATCCTGGTTCTAATTACGAAGTGCCATTCATAACACCACCTATTTTCTCTACATACATAGGGGCCCAAAAGAAACAACCTTTATCCCCACAACGCTCAGATCTGGAAGTTGCTCGTACTACACTATCGAAGTGGATATTGCCTAGGCTTTCGATACGATACTTGCTTCGATCGGATCAGTTTTCAGCTCTACTGATGTCATACGCTCTCGGGTTTACTTATGCAAATCTGAGCTCGGACATCTTCCGACAAGGGCCTTGCGGGCGTCTATCGCCATTACTCCTGCATGGAAGGCCTCACGTACCCCGTACCACTATACAAATGTCAGAGGTATGGTACATCGGAGTATTGTGTACCTTGAAGTACATCTGTACGTATTTTGGGGTACCTTGACATGACACGTCCACCGCTGATATCCAAACGAGCGATCGGACATCTACACTGCCCTTCGTACCTGACAGATGTCTATTATTGGCATTCATACAACGGTAAGGCTATCACAACGCCATATCTCGGATTAGGGGTTGTTTGGCGTCGCACCACCCGGCCCTCGTTCCAGTTTCAGTCATTCTCAACCGGATTGTTATTGATCCACTAGCAATAGTTTGCTTTTAGTTACAAAATTCAAATTTATTAAACTATTCAAACCCCATCCCAGGCGGATTTATTGACTGATCTAAATGTCCTTGAACAAGTCAAGGGGAAAAAAAAGAGAGAGAGGGAAATAATTACAAAAAGGCAAAGAGGGGCAATATCTCTGCGTACACTAGAAGAAATGGTGTTGACCCCAACCCATGGTCTCGACTTCCCATGCTAACTCTTTCCTGCATATGGTAGCGATTTTCTGTTGGCCACTGGCTTCCCCAGCCTCTCAGCGACGAGAGACGGCAGACCGACTGGAATACCGTGGTCACGTCGCTAATTCGTGGATAGTGACTTGAATTATGAAATCTTCCTCCACCTCTATTAGGTTATTTTGTTTCCCCCCCTCCATCTTTAGTTCGTCGAGAATAGGGTCCACATTGGGTGAGCTACACTCCTGAACGCGGGTATCATTTTCCTCTTCGAACCCTATCTCTACCAGCATCGTCTATTATTCGAGTACAAAGGCGCGTAGCAAGCGAGTAGATCCGAGAAAAGAAAAAGAGAAAAAGAAAAGAAAAGAAGGTGAGGTCTAAGCTGGGAATCTGACACAGTATTACATACAATAACTTAGTCTTGACAGCCCTCGTGGTTATCCGAACAAGCGGGGCGGATGGTTTGTTGATGAAAAATTAGTGCTGCACCGATCACGTTTTCCGCGCTCCCCGTCCCGTACTCTCAACTACTTAGGGTAGGTAACTGAGACAGGGCCTTAGTATGTTGTGGTTAGTACGGAGTACATCATGTACAAAGGCGATCTCCTTCGAAGGGGCCAGCCCTGGTAAGGCTGTACAATGCAATGCATTAATGAACGCCGCATCCCATAGAGTATACCCCAGGTCGCACCTACAGCGTACATACCAGTCGTACCCTTGTACCGCAATCATCCGTCGATGACTTTCCGCCAGAAGTCAAGCAACCAGTCAGACCGATGTGCAAATGCAGTATGTACCATCCAAGAACGTACCGCCTGGGCATTGTGGCAATTAATACGTGTGTGTACCGATGGCGAGTCAGGAATGCTTGGGGGGGGGTTTTGAACCTAATAGTCGCAAGAGGCTAAACTGTAAGGGTTAGGGTCAAGTTCTACTACTAAGTTCTAACCCCCGAATAACAACGTCCGATCATTATCTGCATATCTGAAGCTAACTACCAGTACTAGTCACTACTTACTACGGCTAACCTTTTCACATAGATGACGATTAATTAATCAATCCATTCGCCAAACGCGGAATTGGCTACTTTCTTTCTTTTACCTCGTACCAACTAACAGGTGCGCACTCCACTCGTCTCCTTTTGTCCTTTTTGGTCAATCCAATTTGGTCTCGTTTCCTAAGATTTGCATTGCTTAGGTTGCCGGCCCGGAGTGGACCGCTGCGGGCCCCGTGGGGTCCTAGCTCCTCGCCCTCATGTTAGTATCTTAGTAGGACTATCATGCTGGAAGTGTACCGTGGTCAGAGTAAGTCATCTAGTCGTGCTAGACGAACCGAAGCCCCGAACCATGCCGCTGCTACTTCTTATGATAGGACGAACCCTCCCTTCAGTCTATGCTCAGCCCATGTAACAGAAAATAAATTGGAATCACTTTACGGTAATTCATTGGCTGGCAACCATCTCCTGACGTTTTTCTCGTGACAAAGTACTATGCAGATCGGCCTGGCGCTGCTACCACTGGTTGATGATTTGGATTAATGAGGTCCTGGTCCTTGGCCTAGGAATGACTGGCTCTCCCCAAAGTGAATCTTGCTTTCGCATATTTCTTGTCATTTTGCGAAGCAGAGCATCCCCGAAGTAGCATAGTGTCTTCCTACCCAAAGTTGACACCCCCGAAAACCATTTGTTGAAAGACTAGTCAAATGAGGCTTCATCATTGCAAATTGCTAACGAAAGATCTACCTCTTTCTTTCTTTCTTTCTTTTTTTTTTTTTAATCCAACACCAATCCATTGTCAAGCGTACGATGATGATACCGCGAGTCACTCTGTCCTCCTCGATGTGTGGCAAGGCCATTTCTCTTCTCTCTCTCGTTTTCCTTTTTTCCTTTTTTTGCATTTTTTTTTTTCAAATCCCCTGGTGATCCACGTTCTCACATGTGGCTGGCACTATAGGAACGATAGAAGGGACGGGGGGAGCTCGGTACCGAACTATGAAGATACTTATTTCTCACTGCGGAGCTTATGATGGAAAGGAGGAAAAAAGCCGTTGGGCCTTTCCCAGATGGTTGTCGGTCGCCAGTCTAGTCGGAAATCTTCGCTCTATCTCTAAGGTATGTCATGCGGGCATTTAGGTTCAGCGGTTTATCGATCCGTTCCCCGTCCGTGAGTATGATCTTGGCTTGCTGAGAGGAAACTCTTACTTCCGTATATGATTTTCGTCTGAGGACGATCGTTTCTGCTAGGAAACCGTGGATTATCCACCTGAGGTTTCTCCCGTGAGGTGCTACAGGATCGTCCGGCTTGAGGAATTTTGTCTAACGGAACGGAGAGAAATCATTGACAGGAACCCCGAAGGACCGAACGAAAAAGCAAAACGCGCAGAAATGAAATATATATATAAAATAAAATAAAAAAAAATACCAAAGAGAAAATGAAAAAGTAAAGGGAAAGAGAAGGAAAAGGATGCGCAGAAGGTATGTTCTCTCTCCCCTCTCTCTTTTTTCATGTTTGATTTTTCCTTTTTTCCTTTTTCTTTTTACATGTCCTGGATTGGATGTTGCTTTTTCTTGTATTTTTCCCCCTTCTCCTCTCTTCCTTTCTGGCATCTCCGCTCCACCTCCAGGCTGTAAATCGGGTACCCAATTTTGCTCCCACAATTCTTGCCTGGAGTATACCAGAATAGGCAATTGTCCAAGTTACCCGATTCTCTCATTTATCTAGACTTTTGGTGTAACGCCTTGAAAATTTCCGCAGTGCAAATTCCATCTATCATAACATCAAGTCAAGCTCACATAGAGCACAAGTCTTACTATTCCCAACCGCGTTAGCCATCTGGCAGGAAACATTGTCACGGTTGATACAGCATTCAGACTGAGCGTCGTATGAACCAGTACGAGGTTAGCGGTATTCGGGCTCGTGAGATATCCCTGTCCTTGCAATCTAGCCAGCAACCAATCAGAGGCGGAATCCCCCACCATTTCCAAGAGTATTATTATCTTTCATTTTTTTACTTTCTGAGCACTGCCCAATCGCCGTGCAAGTTTTAGTCTTTTATTCGTATGGTACGCTATCTGGCCTGTCCCGTCGGTCGTAGCTCTTCGTGTCTGTGAATTATTACCCTTGTTATTTAAGAATTTATTTATGTTATTTTTTTTTCTTAATTTTTATTTTTATTATTATAGTATTATTAATATTTTTTTTCCCTTTTCCTTTTTTCTAAACGATTTCTTGACAGGCACCAAATAGGCAGTGCTAAAGACGGTCCTGTCGAAATGCAAGACCTGGTCCCAGTCGGCCATCGAATCAGGTACGACTTGCTTGACTGGAAAGGCAAGTCGCAACCAACCACAGGGCCCAGATGAAGAGGTACATCCTTTGACTCCATCCCATCCATACTTACATCGTCAGTACGGAGTATACATCTATCCTCTTCCTTACACTTTCTCCTTCTCCTCCATGATCCTTATTTACTACTCGCTCTTTCTTCCCTGATCGTCCCTGGGCCTGTGTCCCGGTCTGACCCTTTTTAACTCCGTTTTATGTCTTTTTTGCCTTACCCGCACCCACCATTGCCCCTCCGTTCATTTCGTTCTTCCCCTGTACAAAAGAGAATAATATAGTCTGCATGCTTCTTCTTGTTGTGCGCATACTTTCGGCTGTGGGTGACTCGGGTTAGATATCAGGCATCCAGGCGCTGCAAGAACTCCTCCCTCGTGGGAACCGCATTGTTGCTGCCGCAATTCGGCACATATCTACTACTACTACTATTACTACTACTACTATTTTCACAGCAGCTTTGTGTAATCGCATATTCTTTGTGCTGAACATGCATCCTCGTTTATACCATTCTTGGATGTAGAGAAGGTCCAACTTTCTCAGAGAGCTCGCCTTACTTTTTTCCTGCCCATTGACCTCGATTGTCTCCTTCGCTTTCTTTATATCTGTTGACGGCCTGGTTGAAGCCGGTCCCAGTGCTGCCGAAGCCACTCCCAGAGTAGCCTGCCCCTTTAGTTTCTCCTTTCTGCAACGTGCTCTCATGATATTCCTCGCCTCTGCTGCCATGGACACAGAGAGCACACACGCCCAAGATAACGACTATACCCAGTCGCCTTGGTTGGATTTGGGCGGTTTCAGCCCTTCCCAACAGTCACCGCCGCTTGATTACCATGGATTTGGGTACGGCATGCTGCCTTTGGAGTCGGCGTACGGGGTGTCTGTACCACCCCCGTATGCATCACTCCCATTAACTATGCCCTCGAATACGTGGCCCAGTATGATGTCGACTCACCCTCAGCACCCTTTTCCAGAGGGAAGCGTGCCGCCTGTACCCATACCGCCAGCGGTATCGCCAGTCACACATAACCCACCACCGCCGCCGCCTCCACCGCCGCCGCCTCGCAAGTCATCAACGAGTAACTCGACACCGCGGAGGACGCTTACGGATGATGATCGTCGGCGCATGTGCCTGTATCATGAAGAGAACAAAACCGCCAAGCAAACAGACATTGGAGGTCAGTCTTCACGCTAATTTCTTCTCTTCATGTAGATCACGACTGACAAAACATGCACAGCGATATTTGGAGTGGAACGAAGGTAATAAATCTACGCATTCCCCTCTGATCCTGAATTTGAGTAAATCCCGTTCTGACACATTATCCATCTGTTAAAGTACGGTGTCGAAAGTGCTACGTCAGAAAGAGAAGTATCTCAACCCCGATGATGGAACACGTTCCCCCATCAAACGAGCCAAGGGAAGAGTTCCCGATATAGAAAAGGCTCTTTCTAATTGGGTGAGAAACTACCAGCGTCACGGCTATCCCCTCAGTGATGAGATGATCAGGGAAAAAGCTCTCTTCTTCGCCAACACATGTGGTAGTTCCGATGGCAAAGAAAAAGTGTTGAGCACAAGCTGGCTGGAAAAGTTCAAACACAAAAATAACTTGATGGGTTTGAAGTCCCGAAAGAGCTCTTTCAGCGCCAAGAGTGATTCGGAAAGCCCTAGGCGTCTGAGTATAAACTCGGCGATAGCATCTGCCATACAGTCACCCAGCGTCCTTTCGCCTATCTCTCCCACGGGGTTTGCTACCCCTTCGCCGTTATCACCCACCCAGAGCCAGGAGAACTTCGGGCCCGATAGTCTATGTGATCTTCTGGGAGACTATCAAAACACGCACACTACAAGTACCATCTCTATTGATACCACATCTTCTGTCTCCGCCAGCGTGACCAGTCCAACATCAGCACTAGTGGCAGACAGCCCTTTCACCCCCGCTAGTCAATCACACAACTCATCTATGGATAGCAATCCGAATAGACCACGGAGCCAAACGTTCCCTTTCATTGGTGTCGATCCCAGTGTTTTGTTACCTGATGAACAGCCTGATCAGATTTCACCTAAGACTGGACCGCAGCAAGCCTCTTTACAGGAATCACCAATTATGGATGAGTACAACCCAAAGGCTATTCCTAGCCTCGATACCTCGTCCAGCACAATCAAGCGCAACCGCAGCAATCCGGAAATCAAGACGAAATCAATTTATCCGCCACTGTTTCCGAAGTCAACTACAGTTTCGCCTGTAAGTTCACCTGGCTCGCCAACCCAGGATGAAGCTCGGAGGGCCCTAGAATTGGTGATGAACTATTTCGAGCACCAACCCACCGGTCTCGGAGCTCAAGACTATTTGACCATTGGAGGGCTAATGGAAAGGTTGGAACTCGCAAAGTCCCAGCAGACTACGCTCCCTGGGGGTCTTACTCGCATTGACGAGCATGACGACGGTCCACATTTACACAAAAAGCGAAGTATTCGCAGCCTTGGTTAATATCATCCGTTGGGCCATACTCTACAAGATCGATCTACCATAACATGCGAGTTGCGATCGAGTATACAGCCTATTTCTTAACAGTTAACTAACTGCAGACGATTTTTATTCTTATTGGCTCTATTATACGTCTTAACATTACCCCTATCTTGATGCAGCATTTTCCTTGTCCTTGCTTTTTGGGTGGCCTTTTGAATTTGAACTTATTGCATTTGTACGCCATGCTCAATGATTCCCTGTTTCATTAAGCCAACACAACAGTTTCTGAGGTTCATATGAAAAGCAAAATCAGAAGATACACATGTGAAGAGGGCGACCTCGATTGTATTCAATCACTGATTCTGATCCTAGCAGATGGCATCCAGGCATGGCTCACAGTCCATCGGCGGAGTATGGTTCTTATGGTGCATGGACTTTGGGTTTATTTTGTTACCATTACTCTTTTCTATTTCTTGCTATTCCCGTCATTTCCTTCCCTTTTCTTTTCTTTTCTTATTTTTACTCTTTCCTCTATTTTCTTTTCTTTTTTTCTTCTATATTCGAGACTGTTCAGACGGAAGAAGCATCATCTACACTGGAATCGCTCACGCGAAACTGCATGGGACCATTACTATCACTACATTCATCAGCATTTAGGGTTTTCGGACGGAACGGAACGAGTACATGCAAAACTTTGGGCTATCATTTTTCTGGTGTGATTTTTGGATATTTTCTATTTGATTTTGACTTTGATTTGTCTATCTTCCAAGGTTCCATTACTGTTAATTTCTCACCGCAATTTCTGCGTCATTTTCCTTGATCTAATTCCTTGTACATTTCTTCCAATTGACGCACTGTGCCTTGTCCCTGGCGACAAAAAATGGGGCTTGCATGGTTTGTCCGATTAAGTGCATTTCATTGGGCTCTTCGTGCCTTAGGTGCCTCACTTACATACACCTGCCTGCATCTCGAACCCCGCCGTGAGCCAACGCCACCTGTTAATTGTTCTGCAGACCTTCCTGTTATTTTTCTTTTCTTTTCTCTTTCCCACCTTCTCAATTCTTACTGCATACGATTGATTACACTGTAATAATTTATAACGTATTATATTGTGTTAATTTCATCCGTTAACCCCTGAGCCCTCGGTGTAACGGGACAGGGACAGGGTTTTCGTTGCAGGTCACATTTTGTGATCCCGAAGAAGGGAACAGAAATGCATGAACCGAACGAGATCCATGAATACCGACTGGAGGCCTGAGACCCTAACCAGGTTTGATAAGGTTATCGGCCTACCAAAAATATCATACTGTTGCGCAACACGACTCTCGTTTTAGCCGAGGCTGTGCCTGTGCCTGTCTCTAATGCGATTGATCTATTGTTCTAAAACTTCTGCCCAAACGGATCAGGGGTTCACTAAGCTATTGTTCACTCTCGGTGAAATGGCCCTATATTATAGCTCTCTGCTGTTATTATATTCTGTCGGTTTAAGTGGGTTTCAGTCGCTGTCTAAAGACACGCCCCGGTCTTCCATCAACTCCGTTAAGCTGCGTTCCGATAGCTCGGGGAGAAGCCTTGCTAGGACGGTTTCAATGATCGAGTAGATTAGATGTTTATTGCAATACTCATCGGCGAATAGATCCAGAACGTCGTTCTCAATTGCCGCGAGAAGGAGCGACTCTTCTAGATCATCGTTTGATAGTGAGTCAGGTGATAAGGTACAAACCGGTTCCGAATGTTGGTGGTTCTGTCCATTGGAAGCCTTAAAATGCTCTTGGCGCTCAGGGGGCGTTTGTCCAATGACAATTTTCTCTGGAACACCCAAGAAGCGCCGCGCAATGGGACGAGGGACCAATGACAGGATGCTTACCGCGCACCTTCGCTTGATAGAAGCGATTTCGGCCGCGGTAGGACGCTGTTCCGGCGATAAGGAAGGCGCAGTCGCGGAAATACTAGTCGTTAAGACGCTACTGCTGGCGTTACTTGCGCCAGCGGCGTCGCTAGGCGGGCTCGTTTCCGTAGGGGACGCTGGCGGTTGTGCGGGCAAATGCGGAGCCGGAGCGTCGTCTTGATTCGCGCTGGCTGCCTGAGTTGAGCGAGCATTCGAAGGGAAAAGTGCCGCCCTGGACGCGCGGAGGAGATTGGGCAATAAGGTGGGGGTGAAGACATGATTCTGAATGGTCTCGTGGAGGAACCTAGTGGAGTCAACCATGAAAAATTTTTCGGACCAGGGTTAGCCAGACGCTCCAAACGAGAGACATGAAAATCAGCAACAGTCAGATTGCGCAACACAGACGGACGGAGGAAGGTCGGACATGGTAGGCGGTCGAACCCCAGACTGTGGAGAAGCGGTTCAGAGTATCAAGGTCCTTTGCCTAGAAAGGAAGTTGTGTAACGCCGAAGGGAGGGTCACTCATTGCAGCGAGCGAAAAAAAAAAGTCAAACAAAGACAGGAAGAATGGCTGGGTGGAGACCTAATGCGATCGGCTTGGCCAATGTGAGGAGCTTGGGCCATCGATTGGTGCGATTAACAAGGGCCCAATGCTGAAGATGACGACAAGTGGAAAAGGCGGCGAGACTCCCACTCGTCATCTCGCACGCATCCCCAAGAGAAGGCATTCTTTCCGAGCCGTACCATAGGCTTCATAAGGCCGTCTAAACACCGGTGACCGCAGCCGGGATTCGAATTCAAAATCTTCCCCGCGAGGGATTTCGCTGATTGGCTCGAAAATTAAGGAAGGGAAGCGAACTTCGCCCTATCCATGCCAATCCCTAGAAGTCGCATGGCTGTTTCTTCAACCAATCTTAGGATGATCGCCATGATTAATTTCATGTATCATTCTTTAGCGTTGGTTTATGAACGGCGAACTCAAATGCGCCCACTTTTCGGGATAAGGATAGACGGACCTTCCCTTGTCGTTGGAAGTGAAGCACAGTACCAATAGCATTGTCAAGTCCATTGAAGGTCATGGGATTGTCTCCCCATCGTTCCTTTCTTTTCTCATACTTATTTTTGGGGTCTTCCTTTCTTTGATGCCATTGTTCGGTGGATAATGTCTCCAGAATGCCGGAGTTGCATGGATAATGGAGTCGAGCGGGACGGAAAGGGACGGGCCAGCCCATTCAGAGTTGATTGACAGGGGAGCGGGCACGTTCTTCTACTTCGGAATGGCCGAAGCCCCAGCCAATTTCGGGCAGGGAATGACCAGTCAACTTCAAACCTTCCGGTCGTAGTTGAGAGGACAAGCGAGGAAAGGGGCGAAGAGCATGACGACTATCATCATATCATCATCATAATAATAATAGCATCACGCTATGATGATAGGCTCATCGTCATGGAGTAATTCGGCGGTAACTCAAATACGGACACGGTAAGTTACCAGTACGCGCCGGTCACACCTCGTAATGACAGTATGGCCGTGCATGGGCCCAGCGGGCGAATCAGGGTCAGAAACTGGGAAAACGAAGGATGGCCTGTGCATCCACACCCAGATCAAGTGATCGTTGCAGCATGCGAGCAATGCGCATCAGTTGCATCGTCGTCCCGCTGGGCTTCTTGACCATCTTCCAATGACTCGTCTTAGATGTCCTGACAGGAAAGGGTACTTTCCAATACAAGCGTCGATCATGGTTCGGATATCGAACCGTACCGCTTCTCCACAGCTAAAGTTCCCACCCTCCTAAAGTTACTCCGTCTCATCTGATAAACCAGCGATAAGAAGCACAGGTGACTTGGCGAGAATGAGAGAAAAGGGAAGGAAAAATTGAAAAGCAAAAAGACACTGAAAGTAAATGTACAACTCACCTGTCAAGAACACTATCAGTGTCACCTATTCGGCCTGGACCTGCCAAGATCAAGTGTTGAAAGAGTGCGAGCAGCCCTCCCAACCATGGCATCCGCCGGGGAATATCTAGTAGTTGTGAAAGCATGCTGTATAGTCCATAATTGAGAACGGGACGCTTCCGGGGAGGGTTGCATGGAGCGGACGCCTCGTTTGTGTGGCCGGTAAAGGACGAGGGCGAGGCCACTGACGTGGATGCAACGCGAAAAATGCCCGTCACAATGAAACGTAAGGTCACGTAGACTAGGAAGCCGAATTGAAGGATTTTCCACACCCAGTCTGGAACCCGTAATTGGGCACTTGATGACGAATGATGTTTCCGGAAGTCTTCCTGGGGAGATAGCAGGTCGAACTTTTGTAACTGATTCTTTCTAGGTGGTACTGCAGTTGTTGCATCAATCTCATGACTCTGGCGACTTCCCACCACGTCAATCAGTTTTGTGACACTCTCCCACAAGAACCACCCCTCACACATCTTCCCACTAACTTGATTTCCAATTATTAGATCTGCCAAGATATCACAAACTAGCGTCCGCAAGCAGGCATTCTTTAGATCCTCTGTTGGCAGAAGCACAGCCAATACCCCACTCACCAATAGCTGTCTATATCTGGCTTCATTATCGGCTTGCTGGGTGATGGTGTGGGTATCCGTCGGGTCTGGGATTGGAGAAAGGCCCGGGTGAGGGTTGAGACTATGATAAATCTCGCGAGCAGAGGGGGTAAGGCCTGATAGTTGAGACTGTTCTCCAGCTAGTCTATATGCTGATTCCAAGACTTGTTAGTAAAGATATGGCTGAACCGTCCGAAGACGATAAAAAGAGTATTGTAGCTCCACCCTTACAGATAATATGCGCTTCAACCAAAGCCGGTATCTCGTCCAGAACTAACTGTGAAACATCAGTGTCGCGCAGTCTCTGTTCCACCGCCCGCGTACAATGCGCAATCACCTGGATGACGTCGTTGATGAGAACCTGATCCGATGTAATCTTTGAATACCAGGAGAAGACAAATTCTTTAATGATAACCGCGATCAAGGCATACAGCTGACAATCCACTTCATTCGAGCTTGTAAGTGGAGGCAATAGTTCTTCCGGGGACTGTAATGTTGATGCGCCTCCAAAGTTACCCGTCTGCGAACATAGGACGCGACGGATTAAAGCAGCAGTTGCCTTGTCGCCCGTCGCGTCAGTCTGAGTATCCCGGCTAGAGGCCTTATGTAACCGGGGTCGATGTGAAGCTCGAGAAGATGGCCTCCCATTTGCCGAAGCTGTTGACTTAGAGCTGGACGTTGTCGGCCCAGCTTTGAGATGTGAAAGCGGATGGAGCCCCGGACGAGAAGGCTCGCCGCTCATTTCATTCCAGTGACAGTGTCTATAGATAGATTTCCAAAAAGAAGAAAAATTGAAACAGTAAGAATATGGCGAATGTGGGATGTCACATCGAAGCCGTCGTCGATAAGACAAAGGGGTAAATGTCAACACCTCCAATAGTACAGGACAATAAGTTCGCGGGAAGTTTTCCGGGGAAGCTGCGAATGCGATGACGCTGTTGCTCCACGCGGAGATTCCTCTTTGGGATGCGCTCAGGGCTTAGGGCTTCCTCATATCGATAAGGGGGCCTTATCAGTGATCTCCCCCCGCCATGGTCGCCCATCCATGGATCAGCCAACTTACAAGTCCATGAGAATATCTCTCCCCTGAGTACTCATTGAGTTATCTATCTGTGCCCATAGAACGCCGCAATGCACTCGTCATCGGATATCCCTATTCCTCTATGGCTAGACTGCGATCCGGGTAGGTAGATTCTGAACTTGTGGGATATGGATGTACAACCCAGTCAGCACGCTAACATAGCTATTCTCAGGCCACGATGTGAGTATGAAATGTTACCGAAAGTGTATTTTCATGGCCATAAATTAAGAGATACCTCTGCGGTATACAGGATGCATTTGCCATTCTTCTCGCTGCCCATCATCCCTCTCTGCATTTATTGGGCATCACCACAGTCCACGGCAATGCCTCTCTTGAGAACACAACCAACAATGCTACAAGGATATTGGAAGCCATTGGGCGACCAGAAATTCCTGTATATCCAGGTCATAAGAAGCCTTTCTGTAGGCCGGCAATTCATGCTCCGAATATTCACGGTAAGTATCTGCTCTTACCCGCTAAGCTGGTCAACCCAGACCCCTAGCTGGACAACGATATCTCACACCTTTCTTCAGGCGATTCCGGTATCGATGGAACTGAACTTCTACCAAAGGCTACAAAAGTCCCAGTTACAGACAAGAACCCAATTCTGGCAATGCGGGATGCCCTCCTAGCACAACCGAAGGGAACGCCTTGGGTTATAGCAACCGGGACCTTAACCAACGTAGCTTTACTCTTCGCAACGTTCCCTGAAGTAGCAGAGCATATTCAAGGTCTAAGTATCATGGGTGGTGGAGTCGGTGGAGGCTTTACAGATGCGCCTATGAGTCGACTCATTGGTGAAGAGTCGAGGATTGGGAATATCACCCCTCTGGCAGAATTCAACATCTACGTACGCACAACCTACATTTTTTCTTTTCTTGTTGGCCGTTTAACTCTCGTTCTAACGTCACATTTATTGCTACAGTGTGACCCAGAGGCATCCCAGTCTATCTTCAGCAATCCTGTTCTCGCTTCCAAGGCAACTTTGATCACTCTTGACTTAACACACCAAGTTCTCGCCTCGCACTCTGTGCAGTCCCGCGTCTTGCATGGAGGTGATGACCTTTCGGCACCTCCAACAGTCCTCCGGCAGATGCTGTTCGACCTTCTTGTTTTCTTTGCGTCAACTTATGAAAGTGTTTTTGGATTGACCAGCGGGCCTCCCTTGCACGACCCTCTTGCGGTCGCGGTTATCCTGTCGACTCTCAATCCGGAGTATGCGAAAAGACATCCCGATCAGGTCTTGAAGTTCGACGATCGAAACGGAGAGCGATTTGACGTCGACGTCGTCACTGATGGTCTCCATGGGACCGATGTCGAGCTAGTTGGCGAGCTTGGTCGGTCAAAAGTCATGTCTGGTACTAACGGAGTTGCGATCCCTCGGGGGGTGGATCTGGATGCGTTCTGGAATATGATACTCGACTGCCTTAGACGTGCGGATGAATGTAATGCTGCACGGAGGCTGGCGTGATCTATAGATGATAGAAATTGGATTGTTTAAGCCTAAGACGGGTTGTCCGTCGTTTAAACAAGCCATGTAAGCTTATTTGTCTACTTTAGAGATTTGAAGACTTTTGCAGACTATTTGCGCATTCAAGAGTTCAATAAGATGGCTTTCGTATTCGAACTTTGACATACATTAATCGTAACCCATACCGCTATGCAACAAATCGTGCTATATAATACGCCCAGAACATGAACTACAGAAAGTCACAGAGCACATTACCACTCCCGTATACCACCATCGGGACCAAAGAACTCCTTAGGCTGCCAGGGTTCAGTTGTCTGTGCCACGCGCCGGACAGTCTCCTCATCAACCTCGATACCCAGTCCCGGGGCCGTCAAAGCATCAACATAGCCGTCCTTGACGTTGAAGACACTAGCATCCTTGACATAACTAGTGATATCATAATCACCAGCTTCGGTGTTATAATGGATGCCGAGGCTCATCTCCTGGATAACGAAATTAGGAGTGGCAAGATCGACCTGCATACAGGCAGCCAGGGCAATAGGACCAAGAGGACAATGCGGCGCAATCGCGACATCATACGTTTCAGCCATGGACGCAATCCGTCGTAGCTCAGAGATACCTCCGCAATGGCTGATGTCCGGCTGGAGGACATCAACACTGGCATCCTCCAGGAAGCGCTTTACATCCCAGCGGCTGTAAAGACGCTCACCCAGTGCAATAGGACATGACACCTGGTCCGACAACTGCTTGATGCCCTCCGGGTGCTCAGAGAGCAGAGGTTCTTCAAGGAAAAGCGGTTTGTGCGGCTCAAGCGCCTTGGCCAACTGCTTCGCCATGGGCTTGTGTAAACGGCCATGGAAGTCCAGTGCAGCATCCAGACCCAGCGCCTTGACGGCTTTCAGACGCTCGACGCTGGATTCCAGCGCACGCGGTGAATCCAGCCAGTTCACATCCTCCGTGGCATTCATCTTAATCGCTTTGAATCCCTGTGCTAGGCGTGCTTTGCCAGCTGCTTCAACGTCATCCGGTCGGTCACCGCCAATCCATGCGTAGACGGAGAGCTTGTTGCGGACCTTTCCTCCGATGAGCTGGTGAATTGGGACGCCGAGTTTGCGGCCCTTGAGATCCCACAAGGCGATATCGATACCGGAAATGGCGGACATGAAGACGGGACCCCCGCGGTAGAAGCCGAGACGCCAGGCCATTTGCCAGATGTGTTCGATATCACTGGTCTGTCAGCCTCCTGTATACTAACGTTGAGGGGATTGAGGGGATTGAGGGGAAAACATACTCGGCCTCGTATCCCTGGAAGCGCTTGCACAGTGCATTAAGCGTTCCTTCGACGGCTTCTGTGTGCCCTTCTAGGGTGCTTTCACCCCAGCCGTAATTCCCATCTTCATCTATTACTTTGACAAAAAGCCATCTGGGAAGGACACGGAAGTACTCGATGGTCTTGATCTTGGCCATGGTGATTGCGGGGAAGTTGGAGAAGATAACGTTGGGGGAAATAATTATTTAACAGCACCACAAGGCTGAACGAAAGGTTCAGAGTTCAAATTTTATATTTTACTTTCAAAAAGAGAAAGAGAAAGAGACAAAGAGAAGAAAGAAATATGGACTAGAAAGGGGAGGAGGTGGAATAGGAAAATGACATTATTCATGGGCTCATTCGATGCTATCCCACGCGGGGGTACTATAACGTCTCGGAGATTCTCCGCACCGTCTAACCCGACTTACCGAATGATGAAACATTGGTGGACTACGAAAGTGTCAAGGAGGAGATGGTGTTCACTACTTCGTAGGGAGCCTCAAGACTAGGAGCTCAAGAGGCTTTAAGTTTTAAGCCAGGATATGGGTGTGTAGTTGAACAGGGTATGTCAGGGATACAGTCTCCAGGCTCGATGCTTAACGTTCTCGAAGGGATCGACGAGCTTAAAATGTAAGGGATCATTGAATATATGCGATGCGTCGGCCTTGAAAAATATCAGTGGGAATAACCCTTGATACTCGAAGAAGGTGTAGTGGGGACATCCTGCAGCAAAATCGACGAGTCGAATTAGGAGCTGGTTGTACAGTGCAGAAGAAGGATTCTAGAATTCGAGAAGTTTCCCGCTGCATGTCCAAGCGAGCGAGAAATGTCGGGAAACCGAATAAACGACAAATAGTACCCAATAGTGAGAGGGCGAATGGGAATGCAATGCCTCTTCTGGTATCCCATTTGGAATCGAGTAGGGCTCGCATGGAATCACGTTCCCTGACATCTCCCCCGATTAGGCAATCCAATGGACTTCTCCGGTTCTTCGGGTGATTTTCGCAACTTCCAAACGGAACTTCATTCACCTCGAATCATTCGATCTTCTTCCCTCTGGTTACATTCCTCACCGGTTCTTCCCCCCCAACATAAATGGTTTCCTACTACCCCAGTCACCCTGAGGAGTAAGTAGAGGTAGTAGCCACTTACGGCAATCTTCGATCGCATGTTTTGCCCCTTTCCCTCCATCTGCAGATCTTCGACACTGTATCGTCAAGTTGATCCGTCGGCGGACTGCGCCCGCCACTCAACCGCCTTCGCCTTCGGACAGACATGCCGCCGGCCAACTCACCTTCGGTAGGTTGCTCTGTGTTTTCGTACTTTTCCTTCGTTGCTCCGCCGAGGTCAGGAACTATACACACATCTATCTCTTTCCAACCGTGGGCGGACGCCGAGCGATAACGCGGGGGATAGAATGATGGATATCTGGTTCCCGATAACGTGATTCTCTGTGCTCTATTTGAAACTGATACTACCATACCATCTCTCCGTTCAATATCTCATATCTGTGCAGCAGAATACCCCTCATTCTCCTCCCTCCGCTTCCTCACTTCAGCAACTCAGCGCTGTCTCCACTCCCCTTCCATCTCTTCCCACTACCGTATCTGACGATGTTCATGACGATAACGTGAGCTTTCTGCGATCCCGAGTACGCTCTCCACCCGATTCCTCCTCTTCCCTGAGTCGTCAACGCCGTCGTCGACAACAGACCTTGCCAGAGTTCGATCCTATGGATGTGGATGATCCTACACCTTTGCGCATGTCAGTCGAAATCAACCGTCGCATCCCCATCGTGCGCCGTGAACACGATTCCTCCGCCAGCAGCAATAATAATAATAGCAACAGTATGCCTAACTATGAAGGTCGCATTTCTAACCCTCGTTCACTTTATGGATGGGCGCCTGCTTCCGATGACGACGACGAAGAGGATGGCCACGATATGACCTATGGACCACTTCAGGATAGCAACACTATCTCCTCCTGGTTTGGACGTTTGTCTGATCGCAACGCGCCGAGACGCCCTATGCGCCGCGACCCCATCGCTCAAGATCCACACACCTTCTTAGAAGCACACCCGGAAAGCAACACCCAACGTTTGAGTGACTATTCTCCGTTATCGACAACAGAGGCACTGCTACAATCTGTGCGACGCCAACCGCGGTTTTCCCGGACACGGACATTGCATAATTATCTTTTGGACCGTGAAAGAGCCAGTCAGGGCTTGGAAGAGAGCAGAGAACGATCGGGCACTGCAGCTACGTCGCGGGCATACAGATTCCTTCCCAGTAGCCGTGGTGAACCGCACCGACTTCTTACACACAATGAGCTCCGCGCCCGGATAAACGCCCATCGACAACTGCATCTGGATAACCCCCCTAGTCCCCGGTTAAAAGAGACCATCAAATACCTCGACCGTCTACGATATTCAAGTTCCTTCGAAGAAAGTCTGACTTCAGCGGCCGCCGGGGGGTTCGTTCGGTTGGATTTCTTGCCCTGGGATGAGGATGATTTTATTCTAGATACGGCCTCCATCGCGCCACCGCCAATATGTTCCTGGCTTCAGCCTGGGATGGTTTTCTCGGGTTCTCAAAGGGCCGCCAGCAGCGCCAATTCTTTCTCTGCGCAGCGAGTGTCGAGTCCACCATCATCACACGACCCACTGATTGTCAATGGAAGTGAACAGAGCGGTAGTCGGATCCCCGTACAAACAACCAGTGGTCGGCGGTACATGGCCAATAATATTTACAACCTGGGTACTGGTAGGGACGAGAATTGGCCCGTCAAAGTCACCATTCATAACATCAATCCGGAGGAGATGACCCTCTCAGGAACCATGGAGGCATACAACATTCCCGACAAAACATCACCGTCACACGATGCTCATATAGTTACTTTCCTAGAAGGAGAGATCATCGATTTCAACACCCATACACTCGAAACTAAGAATTTCAAAGCCGATGCCGAGATCGACTGTACATACTGGCGTGAACTACAACCGTTCAAAAACTTGTCGGATGAAGCGATGACGCGGAGCCTTGTAAGTCGGAAATGGATAACAGAGGAATTGTCCAAGGGTTGGATTTTGATGAGATGGAAAGGCAAGCTCATGCTCTAGCTTCCTTCTAGGCCCCCAGCATTGCTAACCCAGATACAGAACGCTGTTTCATTACACCCACCGACTCACGACAGGGACTCACGATCTCTGGGTTCTATTACATCTCCCTGCATCGCGAAAGCGGCCATATTGAGGGACTATATTATGATCCGGGAAGTTCGCCCTACCAACAACTATCACTAAAACCGGAGAGTAAAAGGATGGTCCGGCCATCCTACAGGTTTCGCTAATATTTGCATCACTGCCTATCGATTTGGCGTAAGGTCGACCTCTACCAGCAATTTGCATAGCGGGTGTCATCTTTCTGTGGCCGTTTGCGTAATTATTCCGTGTCACTTACACACTCGGTACATCACTTTTGCACAGCTCCACAAATATTCATCTGTACCTTATAGAACAATCCTACACACCAATCTACAATGTACATATCACGGGGGAGATATTCCTTCAATCGTACATGCCATTGGCCTATACTAGGATTAAAAAAAAAGATAAAGATCATGGTCCAAAGACGGGCAAATCAAACCCAATCAACAGAACAGTCATAGGACACAGGGAAGACCTCTCCAAAAGAAAAAAATAAACCCGAACACAACCATCCCATCAATCGAACCCGAACCAGCCCATCATGACGCCACAATCCCTACCCTACCTCCAAAGAGCGAATTTACTGCTCAGTCTGGAAGTAGTTGAGGAGGACAGAGCGCTCCTGGGATTCCTCACCCCAGTCCTTGACAACGACGCAAGAGCAGTTGACAACCTTGCGAGCGTTACCCTCACGGTCAAGCTGGCCTATAGATAACAATTCTAATTAGCCACACAACTCCCCACTTTCACATTTTTTAGACCAAGAGATGGTTTTGAGGGGGGGGGGGGGGGGCAACATACGGAAAGACCGACCCATTCACCAAGCATCTTTCCATCGGGGACCTTGATGAGAGGGATCTTGTGCTCGGAGCACAGGGCAATGACAAGCTTCTTGTAGGCCTCCTCCTCACAGCCCTCGTTGAGGACACACATGTGAGCCTGGCGGCGGTCAAGAGCCTTGGCGGCCTCACGGAGACCACGGGCAAGACCGTCGTGGATCAGGGAGATGCGGAGGACACCCTTGAGGGCGTCGAGGACCGACATCTGGCCACCGGCGCCGGCGTCGGCGCTGACCTCGACCTCATCGGCGGCGGCAACGGGGTTGGAAACAGTCTCTTCTCCGTCCGACTAGTTCATTGAAAGACATGTTAGTGTTGGAGGTCCCATTGTTCAAGGCGATTGTGTATGTGTGGGCGGTTGTGATGTGTGGTGAGTTGCTAGGTCGCCATATCTGTTGTAGCTCTCTCCTCTTTTTTTTCCCTTTTATTCGTTTTCTTGAATGTAGCAATGAATTGGACTGTGGGGGTCTAGTGTAGGGTGATAATCGAGTGGAAGGGGACCACATACCATTTTGTCTGATGGTGTTCTCCTTGTCGGATTATCCTCAAAGAGTGAGATAGATAGGTGTGGTGATGGAGTATACTAGAGGGAGTGTGGAAACGGCGATGAGGTTTCTCGCCTAATTTGGGACCGTGTGCCCTACCGCATATTATGTAATCTCTGGCTTATCGATAACTTGAAGTCACATGAAATGCACCCGCCATCCCACGTGACGCGTTGGGTTCGGCGCTACAATGAGGGGTATCTGCATCTGCACTCCAAATTGTTTGTTACAGCGTGGGAATTGATGACCGCTGGTCATTCCATTGTCTATCCAAAGTCCTATCGACAGACATCACACATCAACAAGGTATCATAGTCATACATCAAGGAAACCTTCCACCTGTACAGGCTGTCCTCATAAATCGCCGGACAAATACTCTTAGAACATTGAAAGAAAAGAAAAAGACATTAGACGTATGTACTTGGTCGGTGACCATAGCCATTGGTTAGGCCTTGCACTCCATTGGGAAGCCCAGCTGTGTCCTCAACATGGGAAGGCCCAGAAATGTGACCATTGGCTTGTGGAAAGTTAAACGCTAGCGGCGCCGTAGGTTCCTGATCTATATGCAT